AAAAAAATTTAAAAAGTGCTATAGAAATAGATATATTCATAAATAGTATAGATAAGTCAAAATGGAATCCTAAAAATTCTAGTAATCCACAGGAAGGAAGGAAAAAAATAAAACAGAGAAAAACAGAAAACAAAAATAAAATGGAAGACCTAAGCCTTATTATATCAATAATTACTAGTTAAAAAGCAGATTGGCAGATTGATTTTTAAAGTGACCCAACAATATGAGCTATAAGAAACTCATTCCAAATATAGTGATATAGGTAGGTTGAAAATAAAAAGATAGAAAAAGATACATCATACAGTCATTAATCAAAGAAAAGCAGGAGGTACAATATTAGTATCAGATAAAGCAGACTTAAGAGCAAAGAAAATGACCAGAGTTGGACTTTAAAATGATAAAAGGGTGAGTCTACCAAGAAGATAGAGCAATCCCAAATGTGTGTGCAGTAGACAACAGAGCTGGAAAATGTGTGAGGCAAAACTGATAAAATTGAAAGGAGAAATAGACAAATCCACAATTATATCTCAGACTTCAACATCCCTTTCTCACCAGCTGATAGAACAACTAGACAGAAAATCAGCCCGATGATAGAAGCATCCAACAACACCATCAAGCAATAGAATTTGATTGGCATTTACATAACATTCCACACAACATTGCAGAATACACAGTCTTTTTAAGTCCCTATGTAACAGACCATATAAACCATATCATGTGTCATTAAACCTCAGCTCAATTTAAAAATATACACAGGCCTGAATGAAAATAAAAAATGTCAAAATTTATAAGATTCGGCAAATGTGGCTGACATTGTAATTTATAGCACCATTGCCCACATTAGAAAAGAGGAAAAAGTCTTAAATCAATAATATAATCTCTCACTTTAAGGGTTAAGAAAATGAAATCAAAGCAAGCAGAAGGCTAGACATAATAAAGAGAAGAATAGAAATTAATGAAATTGAAAACAAAACAATGGAGAAAATGAATGAAACAGAGCTTATACTTTGAAAAGATCAGTAAAATTGACAAACCTCTAGCAAGACTGACTGCAAAAGAGAAATATAGGGACTTCCGCCAAGATGTAGGCGTAGGTGGAAGCACTGTGCCTTCTCGCACAACCAAGTTTAAAAACAACAAAGTTTTAGCAACAAAAACGCAGGCAAACCACAGAAAATTGAACTATCAGGAGTCTGACAATAACGAACCCTTCAGCCAAACCGGTAAGAGGGGCAAAGCCAGCAGCAGAGCGGGGTCGGGCAGGAAAGATCCACCAGACTGACCCGAGCGTGCAACCCAGGCGGGCAGGCAGTGGGCGGATCCCAGGTGTGGAAAAGTGGGTGGACCCACTGAGGGTTGACCACGGTCACACATTCGCACGCAGATAAACCGGTGAAGGAGCCAGTGGTGAGACAAACTGTTCAGGCCCCAGTGGTGGGAAGCAGCAGAGGGGACCACTATTGTCCCTCTCTGACCCCGCCCCCACATACAGCGTCACAAACCAGCGACCTGGGTGGCCCCTCTCTGACCACGCCCTCACATACAGCTTCAAAAACCAGCGACCTGGGTGGCCCCGCCCTGGTGAACACCTAAGGCGCCTCTCAAACATAGCAGGCGTGAACAGAAAAAAACATGGCTGAAGAAGAACTCAGAGCCCCAGAGCCAATAAATCTAAGTGAACAAGAAATTGCCAACTATCAGAGGCACAGTTCAAAACACTGGTGATCAGGATGCTCACAGAACTGGTTGATTTTAGTCACAAATTAGAGGAACATATGAAGTCTAAACTAATTGACATGAAGGGAAATGCACAGGAAACCAATAGTGATGGAAAGGAAACTGGGACTCAAATCAAGGGAGTGGACCAGAAGGAGGAAAAAATGACCAAACAGAAAAGGATAAAGAAACAATTCAAAAAAATGAGGAGAGGCTTAGGAACCTTCAGGACATCTTTAAACGTTCCAACATCCGAATTATTAGGGTACCAGAAGGGGAAGAGGAACAGCCACGAGTGGAAAACTTATTTGAACAAATAATAAAGGAGAGCTTCCCCAATCTGGCAAAGGAAATAGACTTCCAGGAAATCCAGGAAGCTCAGAGAGTCCCAAAGAAGTTGGACCCAAGAAGGAACACACCAAGGCACATCATCATTATATTAGCCACGATTAAAATGAAGGAGTGAATCCTAGAAGCAGCAAGACATAAGGGGACAGTCACCTACAAAGGAGTTCCCATCAAACTGTCAGCTGATTTCTCAAAAGAGACCTTATAGGCAAGAAGGGGCTGGAAAGAAGTATTCCAAGTCATGAAATCCAGAGACCTACATCCAAGATTGAGCTATCATTCAGCAAGGCTTTATTTAGAATGGAAGGGCAGATAAAGTGCTTCTCAGATAGGATCAAATTCAAGGAGTTCATCATCACCAAGCCCTTATTATATGAAATGTTAAAGGGACTTACCTGAGAAAAAGAAGATAAAAAAGATAAACAGTGAAAGGACAGCAAACTTACAGTTACTAAGAACCACACCTAAAACAAAAGCAAACTAAGAGGACAGCTAGATTAGGAGTGAACCATAGAAATGAAGATCACATGAAGGGTTAGCAACAGGGAAGTGGGAGAAGGAGAAGAGGGGAGAAGGTACAGAAAATAAGTAGCATAGACGGTAGGTAGAAAATAGATAAGGGGGAAGGCAAGAATAGTGTGGGAAATATAGAATCTAAAGAACTTGAGACACGTGGTCATAAACTAAAGGGAGGGAATGGTGGGGGAGGGCGTATGCAGGGTGGAAGGGAATGAAGGGGGGAATAGAACAACTGTAATGGCATAATTAATAAAATATATTTTTAAAAATATATAAATCACCAAATTTAGGAATGAAACAGGAGCTATCACTATAGACTCGCAGATATCAAAAAGAAGGGAATACTATAAACTACTTGATAAGGAACGTCTACAAAAAAAAATCTTATGGCTAACATTATATTTAGTGGTGAAAGGCCAGACACTTTCTCCCTAAGATCAGGGATAAGGCAAAGATGTCTGCTTTGAGCACTGTCTTCAACCTAGCACTAGGAGTAATAGGCAGTACAATAAAGCAAGAAAATGAAGTAAAAGATATAATGGATCAGAAAGGAAGAAATTGTCCTTATTTGTAGATGATATGATTATCTACATAAATGTAGATTGTCCCAAGCAATCTACAAAAAAATTTGCTAGAATAACTGAGTCCAGCAAGGTCCCAAGATACAAGAAAAACAAGCAAAAATAAATTGTATTTCTGTGTACTGTTGTTGAACACATGGACATTCAAACTAAAAATATACTACCATTTACAATCAGTCAAAAAGAAGATATCCTTAGATGTGACTGTAACAAACATGTATCGGATTTGTATGTCGAAAACTATAAAACACTGATGAAAATAATAATTAAAGATCTAAGTAAATTGACAGACAACCATGTTCATGGATTAGAAGATTCAAGGTATCAGTTCTCCTTAAATTGTTATGCAAGTTTAATGCAATTTTGTGAAATTCTAAGCAAGATATTTTTGTAGTTACAGACAAAGCTATTCTAAAACTTAAAGGAAAACACGAGGGAACCAAAGCATCTAAAGCAGTTTTGAAAAAGAATTAAGTGGGAGGAATCAGTCTTTCCAGTCTCAGACTTTACTATATTGCTATAGTAATCAAGACTGCATATGAATCTATAACTAAAAAGGCGAATTTTTTGAAATGCTGTGGACAGTGTACTCATAGGTTACCGTATTTAGCCTGAGCACTTTAGCTTTCTGCTGCAATCTTCAAAATAAACTACATTTGCTTTTATATGAATTACTGAACATAGGCTGGCTGAATGTCCTGATGGTGCTGTTAGGCCAGCTAGCCTCTAGTACTTCTTCTGGGCCAGTGAGGGAATAGTGGGGTCAGTTGTCTGTTAAATGGAGCTGGTTCTTACTGATGGGATCATGCTGTGTGCTCATGAGGGAACTCATTCTTGGCTTTCTCCTGTCTGTGGCTCATTCTAGAGTGGTGTGTGGTCGTTAAGGTTTGAGTTATGAGAACAGGGCAGAATGGGGACAAAAATATTTATTGGGTTGCACAGTACGTTGCTCTAGTTTGGCCAGTCACAGATGGCCTCTGCAAGCTCATGCCTGGTGCTGTTGCATTTCTAGGGTTCAGGATCCATACTCTTCAATTGTTGGGTGTGTATGCTGCCCACAGTCAGAAACTGGGGGGAAGGTCTGTAATAAGCCACAGACAGCCTAGTATTATCTCTGAGAGGTTTTTCTACTCGTGAGGAAGAGGTGAGTATGCATCTGCTTCATCTTCCAGTGGGAACTGGCCTCCAAGTGGCTTATCCAGAAGGAACCTGTGCTAGTTTGCTAGGGCTCTCGTAACAAAGTCCTACACATGGGGGGCTAAACAACAGAAATTTATTTTCTCCCAGATCTGGAAACTGGAAGTTCAAGATCAAGTGTTGGCAGCATTGGTTTCCTCTGAGGCCTCTCTCCTTAGTGTGTAGATGGCTGTTTTCTCCCTGTGTCTTCATATGGGCTCCCTGGTTGCCTGGGTCAGAAGATGAGAGGAGAGTATGTAGACATGGCACATTAGCTCTGAAGTGCCTTTGCTTCCTCTCTCCCTACATATCTCATTGGTTAGAACTAATGGAGTGGTATAGCAGTGTAGTGGTGCCGGGAGTAGGGAGAACCTGGTATGGGGGAACACTTAGGGCCTTGCCCCCATCCCAGGGGTATGAAAGAGGTGTATGTGGAATGATGGCCAAAAGGGACATGTTCATCCTTTGCTTCCTTCCCCTGCCATGTCTGGAAGGTCTATCCTGAGTTCCTCCATTCTCCTCATCTTTATCCCATCTTCGTTTGAGAGGTTTGACAGAAGAAGAAGGGGTAGAGGGAAGTCAGGGCTGAGCACAGTGAGATTAGGCCCTGCAATCCATCAGCAGTCCATCAGCAATCCCTCCCCTCTTACCTCATTTCAGAGAAGCTGATGACCCCTGAGATGTTTTCAGAAATCCTCTGTGATGACCTAGATTTGAACCCACTGACATTTGTGCCAGCCATTGCCTCTGCCATCAGACAACAGATTGAGTCCTACCCCACGGACAGCATCCTGGAGGACCAGTCAGACCAGCGCGTCATCATCAAGGTAGGTGGGTTCCTCTCCATGTGCCAGGGCCTTCCTTGTCCTGGGGGGGTCATGGGAAACTGAAGGTCCATGGAAGCCTGTGTGGCAGTGCTTCTGGAAAGCTGTCTTTGTTGTTCTTTTGCTGTGTTCTATAAGTTCTCTCTACCTTCTAGATAATCCATCTCTTATCAGATATGTAATTTGCAAATATTTTTTCAAATTCTGTGGGTTGCCTTTTTATTTTGTTGATAGTGCCCTTAAATGCATATAAGTTTTTAATTTTGATGCAGTCCAGTTTTTCTATTTTTTCATTTGTTGCCTGTACCTTTGGTGTCATGTCCAAGAAATCATTGCCAAATCCAATGTCATAAAACTTTTCATCTGTTTTTTCTAAGAGTCTTGTCATTTTAACTCTACATTTTTGTCTTTCATCCATTTTGAGTTAATTTTTGTAAATGGTGTTAGGTAAGGGTCAACTTCATTCTTTTGCTTGTGGATATCCTGTTTTCTCAGCATCATTTGTTGAAAAAACTGTCTTTTCTCCCATTCAGTGGTCTTGGTGCCCTTGTTGAAAATCATTTGACCATATATGCAAGGGTTTATTTGTGGGCTCTTTATTCCATTGGTTTCTATGTCTGTCTCTGTCAGTACCACACTGTTTTGATTACTATAGCTTTGTAATAGGTTTTTTAAAAGAGTTTTATTTATTTATTTTTAAACAGAGGGGAAGGGAAAGAGAAAGAAAGGGAGAGAAACATCAATATGTGCTTGCCTCTTGTGTGCCCCCAACTGAGGACCTGGCCTGCATCCCAGGCATGTGCCCTGACTGGAAATTGAACCAGTGACCCTTTGGTTCACAGTCCAGTTCTCAATCCACTGAGCCACACCAGGCGGGGCTGTGGTAAGTTTTGTAATCAGGAAGCGTGAGTCTTCCAACTTTGTTGTTCTTTTTCAAGATTATTTTGGCTGGTCAGGCAGGGTTCCTTAGATTCCATATGAATTTTAGGATGGATTTTTTCTATTTATGCAAAAAAAAGTTTGCTGGCATTTCTTTTCATTTATTTACCCCTTTTAAAATTATTTTTAGCATTGTTTTGTAGTTTTCATTGTACAAGTCTTTCACCTTCTTTGTTAAATTAATTCCTAAGCATTTTGTTCTTTCTGATGCTGTTGTAAATGTAATTGTTTTCTTTTTTATTTTCAGATTGTTCATTGTTAGTATATAGAAATGTAGCTGCTTTTTGTGTTGTGAGTTTGTATTTTGTTACTTTGCTGAATTAGCTCTAACAGTTTTTCAATATAATCTAGGATTTTCCCCATATAAGAGCATATCATCTGTGAACAGAGATAACTTCTTCCTTTACAATGTGAGTGCATTTTTTTTTTCTTGTCTAATTGCTTTGTGCAGAAATTGCAAGAGCAGGCATCTGGTCTACTTTCTGATCTTAGAGGAAAAGCTTTTAGTCTCTCACTATTTAGCATGATATTCCCTGTTGTTTTTTTATATATGGATTTTATTATGTTGAAGTAATTTTCTTCTGGTTTTTTTTTTGTTGCCTTTTTTTATCCTGAAAGGGTGTTGAATTTTGCTAAATGTTTTTTCTGCATCAAGATGATCATGTGATTTTTTTGTTCTTCATCTGTTAATGTGGTGCATTCACATGAATCAGTTTTTGTATTGAACCTTCCTTGCACCACAGGAATAAATCCCACTTGGTGGTGGTATGTAATCCTTTTAATGTACTGCTTAATTTAGTTTGCTAGCTTTTTTTAAGGATTATTACATCCATGTTCATAAGGAATGTCGGTCTATGATTGTCTTCCTTTCTTGCAGTGTCTAGCTTTGGTATTAGGGTGATGAATTATGAAGTGTTGCTCACTCTTCACTTTTTTGGCAGAATTTGAGAAGGATTTGTGGTAGTTCTTTTTTAAGTGTTTGGCAGAATTCACCAGTGAAGTCATTAAGTCCAGGGCTTTTCTTTATGGGGAGATTTTTGATGACTGATTCAGTCTTCTTGCTAGTTAATGACTTCTGCGAAAAATATTAATTTGTCGTCTTTAGCCTGTTTCAGTTTCACGTTGTGGCCAACTAACAGAAAAAAGTGCCCAACTGAGAAAGGGGGATATCCCAGGAGAGAAATGGGGGTGTTGGGTACCGTAAGGGGAAGCCCCTGTGCACAGACTGCCACCTCTGGAGCCCGGCCAAGGCCTCTGCTCTGTGCTGCATCTTCGTACTGTAACGTTAGAGAGGACGTGGCTCAGTGGAGCGAGCTGTACCTAGCCACATGGTTCGAAGTGGCCAGGGTCAGCCCTATACAGGGTCCTCATGAATCTAACCAGCTGGCTTCCCTGATATTTTTCTCAGAATCGGGTGACCCTTTTTTTGGTGGTGGTGGTTTTCTTGATGGGGGCTTGTGACAGCCATACAGAAAGTTGTCAGGCAGTTCAAACTCTGCCTGGGCTACCACCTGCTCTCTTGACCAAAGACTTTCTTGGTGACTGGGCTGTTGTCAGTCCCTATAATTCCTTCCCATTGGGGTGACATTTGCTGGCAGACTGTCCCTAGGTGGGGTGTCCTGTCCAGCTTTCTGGTATAAGGGCTCGCCTGCTCCAGGGTCAAACACAGCTGGCCCAGGGAAGCCCCACTATGTGGAGCAGTTCTGTGTTTATCGGGCGTCATGACCTAGGTGACAGTGTCCCATCTTGTGTGTGAGGAAACTGAAGGTCACACCCAACATTTCCCATGGGCAGCTGGGACTTCAAAAGAGCTGGGTGCTTGCTTCTGTGAGGATATTCTTTGGCTGGCTGCTGGGACACAGGGGAAGACAGGAATCTCTGGAGTGCTGGTTTTTGAGGAGTGTCTTTCCTCACAAAGCAGCGCCTTAGCATGGAGCAGCCGCTCACACATGTTCTTGGTGGTACTGGGACGGAAGCCCAGGCCTGGCCACTTTAACCAGGCCTGGGCCCGGCCAGCTCCACTCGGTGCCAGAGGCCTGGGAGGCGTGGTGCTGCCGAGAGTCAGACCTTCACACTTTGTTCGATGGCCAGGCCCTTTCTGGGGAGTGAATCAAAACATTTATGGGGTGATAGAGGTGAGGCTGTGGAGATGACGAGAACCTGGTATCAGCACTGTGTGCTTGCTCGGGGACCCTGGCTCTGCGCTGTCTCTGTGTGAGCTCACCTGGGGTCCAGCCACCCCTCACCATCCCGCTACTGCCACCACCAGACGCTCCCTCCAGCAGAGGTGTCAGTGGCAGCCAGTGTCTCTCCTCTGCTCAGAACGCTTTGCAAGTTTCGCACATCCCCCTGTGGAAGCCTCAGGCCCTGCTCTGCTGGGGGCCCTTCCTCCCAGGGAGCCAAAAGCCTTCTCTTTTGGTTCATTCAGTTCTTCCTAAAATGCCATTTCTTCCAGGAAGCCCTTCTGGTCCTCCTGCATAATGTGGCTGACCCTGTACCTTCTACCCATGCTCTCTTTTTCCTCCTTAGCATGTGGCACTGTTCAGTTTCACCCATGTATTTATTTTATGTGTGTCTCTCCCTCTTTCTGCTGGATGTCAGCCCATGGAGTCAGCTTTGTGTCTCTTTGACCCACTGTTGCACCCCGAGCCTCTCCTTGGTTGGCATGTAATTCATGTTATTTAATCGTTGAAAGCATTCGTGACAGATTGGTGGGCGACAGGTAACCCAGTGCACACGGCACAGTCTGGTAGCAGAGAGGACTTACAGTGTTGCACGCTGGGCAGGGCTTGCTGGGTGTGAACCGCTGCCCTGGCCGGTCCTGCTTGGTTCTCTTTGGTCCTGTGAGGTTCTGTTTGGGGCATTTCTGTAGGCTGCTTGCCGCTTCTCGTTTCTTCCTGTCCCAGTGTGCCGATGTGGTTTGCCAGGCATTTGGATTCTGTTAGGAGAAGAGGCAGCTCTTTTGGTTCCATTCTGTAAACCCAGGGTGAGAAGGGACCTGGGGCTGGGCTGCAGTGAGTGGAATGTGAGGCATAAGACTCAGAGTCTGGGTCTTACATCACTCAAGGAAGGGAGAAGTCCCTGTGGGGGCTGGGCTCCGTGCAGTGGCCAGTTCACTGCCTGTCCTGATCCTTGCCTTAAAAGCTGAGTTGAGCCATCACTGTTGTGGCTCAGTTGATTGGGTGTCGTCCCGCAGACCAAAAGGTCACCATTTGATTCCTGGTAAGGGCACATGCCTGGGTTGCAGGCCAGGTCCTCAGTAGGGGGCATTTGAGAGGCCACCAATCGATGTTTCTCTCCCTCCCTTTCTCCCTTCTTCTCCCTCATTCTAAAAATAAGTACATAAAATCTTAAAAATAAAGAAAAGAAAGAAAGCCAAGTTGAGCATTCAGGCACAATGGGGCGAATAGGCAGATACACCACGGCCTGCCCACCTGGCAGAGCAATGAAAGGTGGTCCTGCCTCACAAAGCCACGGAAGAAGACTTGTGGACACGATGCTGAGTGAGCAATGCCCAACCCCAAAGGGTGCTTCCTGTGTGAGTCAGTGGTGCCCAGTTTCAAGTAGGCACTATCAGGTGTGGGTTGAGAAGTCAGTGTGGTGGTCCCCTGGGGCAGGCGTGGGTGGGGCGCTCTTGGGGTACAGGCTGTATTCCCTCTGGGTCTGCATGCTGCACATGCAGGGTCCGGACCCTCTCTTGGCTGCACGATGCAGGCCGCACGTCAGCAGGGTGCCGCAGGGAATATGGTAGAGTAGTTCGCTGTGGGCTTCTGTTTCCCTACCAGACTTTGCTTGTGCCTTGAGAGCTGGTATAGGTACAGTTTGCATCTGTGAGCACACTTAACAAGGTGATTTCCAAGTGGGGCATGCTGTGTAAAGAGATGGGGTAGGCAAGGGCTCAGGGATAGTGTCTGATGACTGACGGTTGAGCTGAGCCCTGACCAACAGGTGTAGTCCTGTCAGAATCAAGACCAGCAGGAACGAAGTGGAGCAAGGGGTTAGAAGCAGGGGTGAGGTGGGACTCGGTGCCTTAGGGCTACTTCAAGGTCTTCCCTCCTGGGTGACTCTGCTGGGCCCTGAGCCAGAACCCCTTGTGGCCACCCTAGTTGGTTTGTGGGCTTAGCTCCATTTTTGTGGATGGGGGGCTACAGCTGGAAGGACAAGGGCCACACCTGGTCCTCAGTGAGTAAGTAGAGGGCAGGGTCCAGCTTGGTGTCCCGCCACCTCACAGCCCCTCTGTTGGGCAGGTTCCGACTGCTCTAATTTGGGTGCTTTGGTTCTGGCCCCAGCTGAATATTCATGTGGGGAACATCTCCCTGGTGGACCAGTTCGAGTGGGACATGTCAGAGAAGGAGAACTCTCCTGAGAAGTTTGCCCTGAAGCTGTGCTCAGAGCTGGGACTAGGCGGCGAGTTTGTCACCACCATTGCCTACAGCATTCGGGGACAGCTGAGCTGGCATCAGAAGACCTACGCCTTCAGGTAGGATCACTGATGAGTCCCTCTCATTCCTTTTTAAACTTGTTTTGGGGGAAAAGACCTCTCCCTGTGCATGGTGATATCTCCAGGATTTTCTGGAGCTTTGCATATGGTCTGGTCTCGGGTGGCCTTGCTCCTTCTGCTGCCTCCTGTATCCCAGAAACAGGGCTCCCCACCCCCATCATGGTGGGGTGGGTTTAAGGGGATAGGGTACTTGCCCTCTTTGTCTTCCACCCACCCCGCATTGCCCTGGGCCACACTCTGCTGCCAGCAGCCCCTCCACAGCCTTCACACCCCTTTGTCCCCCATCTCTGCACTCTTGCCCACACTGTCTTGGTCACGGGTGCACACCTCAGGTTCTTCCTCTGATGGACTTGCATTCTGTCTCAGACAAGAGCTGCTCCATAGTGCCCTCCCCCGCTCATGCAGGGATTCCTCCTCAGGCAGCTGCTCTTACTGTCGCATCTCGCCATTGTCAGTCAGAGGTCAGTTGGTGAGCACCGTGCTGGCTGGCTGCACCCTGTACAGGATGCTGTGGAAGATAGAGAGCCAGGTTCAGGCTGCCTGTGAAATCCGAAGTGTCAACACAGCATTCTGGTCCAGTGTCCTGTGTGCTGGGCCGGGGGATGGACCAGAGGCCTGGGCTCTTTGAGAGACAGTCATGTTGGTGTTGACCCCCCTCTGTGTGAAGCACTGGCCTGGCAGGAGACGGGCCTTGGAGAGATGGCTCTCGCTCGCCTTGGGATCCTTCTGTTGTACCAGCCTGACCCCCGCACTCTTCTCCCATGTTCAGGCGGTGCGTGTGTGTGGGAGGCATGTGGTGAGTGTCCCTGCGTCAGAACAGGATGTTAGGATTTATTCTGCTCATGAAGCTGTCATCATCCACATGTGGTGGTGATTATTTAGGGACCGAAGCTTAAAATGCTGCATGAGGAGAAGTATGAAGGTCTTTTTGCAAAGACATAACCATTAATGGGGCTCGTGAGTGTGTTTGTGTCTCAGCTGATTCTCCCAAAAATCCCAAGAGGCAGCTCTCTTATGGCTTCCTGTAAATCTGAACAAGAGAGGAGGAATGAAAGTACACCCACACAGCCTGAGGTTCCGGGCCTGGGAGACCGCCGAGTCCCCCAGCGTGGTGGTCTGTGCTCCCAGATCCAGGTGGAGATGGCACATCTGTCACCTCCGTAATCCTCTAGCAGTCCTGCCGACGAGGTGGTCCTGCTTCATAGATTGGGGGTCCGGGCCAAGAGGAGAGGGGAGGTGGTGTCTGGCTCATAATCTCCTGCGTCCTGTGTGAGGCCTGCTTGAGGTATGTCAGAGCGTGTCTGTTCGCTTGCACCACGCCATGGCCAGTGGGCCTCAGACCCGGCTGGGGTGGCCTTGCTTCCCGGGGTTGACTCTAAGGTCCTGGGAGGTGGTGTGTTACATAGGTCTTGAGAGTGACATTGACACTTAGTACCTCATTCCCCAAATGCTGCCTGAGTCAGAACCTACTTGCTGACTGGCCAGTGCACAGGTGGGGGTGTCACGCTGCTCTCAGTAGCAAGACCCTGACAGTGTTGACACATGTGACACCATCCTTCCTGCTCTTATCTCTGCGTGATGCAAGCCATCTGCCTAAAGTCCTCATTGGCTGTGTGCCAAGTAGCTCCAGAGCCAGGCACCCCTCGGGAGCCCCTGGAGGCGGCAAGTCAGCACTTACAGACAGATCCCTCCCTTATCTCAGCAGCCAGTGAATGGACTCCAGTTTTGTGGACAGGGAGTGTCACAGACCTCTGTGCCACCTCAGTCGCTAGTGCTGAGTGTGCAGGTTTCACATCCGTGAGCACCGGGGACGCACATCCCTTCTGCAGCAGCCTGGGCCAGCTGGGTGGGAGCGACATCCCAGGTGCCTTTGACATCAGGAGGCCTGCCTGTGTTCTCCCAGCCGACCAGGCCTCAGGAGCCTTTCATGCTGGGCCCGGCCTGTAATGTGTTCTCTGTCTGGTTGGGCAAGTGGGTGCTCTGGAGAGAGCTGTCAAGGACAGGAAGGAGAGCCTTCAGTCAGGGCTAGCTTGTCACAGGCTTCACCGCCTAGGGCACAGAACTGCAGTGAGCCGGGGGAGTACCATCCACCCCCCAGCCTGAGCTCAGTGCCTGGCTATGGTGCCCGTCTCGTCAGCGGCATTGAGTCGTGTCCATAGTAGAGCTGGGCAGGGTGCCCACAGTCAGGGCAACTGGGGTAGAGAACAGGCTGCTTTCCTTCAACAAGCGGGATGGGAAGGCCTGGTGTGGGTGAGCACAGAGGGGAGGTTGGGGACATGGGCGTGTGGCAGAGGGGTTGGGAGCCCCAGAGCTCCTAGAGGACAGAGTTGAACCAGAGTGGCATAGAGGTGTTCTGAAGCCAGCGGAATGGGGACAAGGAGACAGTAACAGGAGAGGGATAAGGCTCCATCTAGGTGGTGGGGGTTGGCTGAGCAGGGCATGTGAGGGTGTCACACACTCACTGAGACAGTGAACCACTACCTATGAGGAGAGTTGCATTCATCAGAGTTAACGGCACCTCCTCCAGGCCAGCCCTGTGCGCCAAGCTGGGGACACAGAGAAGAAACAGAGGAGAGGTATATGTGTGGTCACTGAAGGTACCAGAGGCTGCAGGCACAGGGAGGGAAGTGTTTGCTGGGGGGAGTGTGGAACCTAGAGTGAAGAAGTGGCTAGGGTAGGGTGCTGGCCAGGAGGAAGTCAGGACAGGCAAAGATGTGGGACCTGGCAGCTGGGCATGATCAGGGACAGAAAGGCAGCATTGCTGGAGCCAGCAGGGTTGGAGACACCTGAGTCACTTTGGACTAGTTGGCCATGAGCCACTGGGGTTACTCCTAGGGCTCTGCCCACCTGCCCTGTGAGCGAGGTTTGCCTGTCGGTTTGTTTTGTAACAGCTTATTGACGTATAACTCACCCACGTAGGGGGTACAATTCAGATTCTGTGGGTTTTTGCATATTTGTGAGTGTGCAGCCCTCACAGTTTGCAAACATTTTTCACTTCCCCATGCCCCTCTGGCCCCAGGCTCCTGGCCCTGGGCAACCACTAATTTACTTTCTGTCTGTAGATAGGCCTGTTCTTGATGCTTAATGTAAATAGAATTGTACAGTGTACAGTAGTAAGCCCTTATTCACGGGGATACGTTTTAAGACTCCGAGTGTTTGCTGGAAACCACAGAGAGTACCGAACCCCGCATATACTGTGTTTTCCCTGCACACACCTTTTCAGAGAAGGAAGCACTTTCCCCTCTTCCGCATGCCAAGCTGCCAGCGTCACTACTCTTGGGCTTTGGGGCTATTGTTAAGTAAAATGAGGGTGACTTGAACACTAGCCCTGCGATACCGTGGAAGTTGATTGGATCGCCAGGACGGCTGCCCTGTGGCTAACAGGCTGGTGGCATGTGTTTGTAACTGTGGAGACGTGGGACAAAGGGATGGCTCACATGCTGCAGAGAGGATGGACAGGGAGGGTGGTGTGAAATTGCACTGTGCTGCTCAGAATGGCATGCAGTTTAAAACTTCTGAATTGTTATTTTCAGAATTCCTACCTAATATTTTCAGACCCTTTTGACTGTGGGTAACAAACTATGACAGCAGAACCATGAACAAAGGGGGACTACTGTGCGCACTTTTGTGCCTGGCTTCTTAGCATAATGTCTGCAAGATTAATCCATGTGGCAGCCTGTGTCAGAACTCACTCCTTTTTCTGGTTGAATGAGATTCCATTGTATCGATGCACTACATTTTCTTTATCCACCCAGTGCAGTGGTCTGACAGCACAGGAACCGCTAGACCGCAGACCCAAACACCGCTCCTCGCCTAGAGGGCTCCCAGCACATTCATCAGTGCCCGCTGGTCAGATGGTGGGTAATTGGGCTGTTTCCATATTTCGGCCGAGAACAGTATTGCCGTGGTCCTTCATGTACAAGTTTTTGCTTGAATACCAATTTTCCACTCTCTTGTGTATGTAGGCTTGGAATCACTGGATTATGTGGTAACTATCCTTAGCATTTTGAGGGACCGCCAGACTGCTTTTCAAAGTATCTGTGCTGTGTTCCTTTCCCACCAGTGGTCTGAGGGTTCTAGTTTCTGCACATTCTCAGCAGCATTCCCTGACTTTTGATCCTAGCCATCCTAGTAAGGGGACGTGAAGAGGCATCTGCTTGCGTTTTGAGTTACATTTCCCTACTGACAAATGATTTTGAGCATCTTTTCATGTCCTACTGTCCATTTGTATGTCTTCTTTGGAAAAATGGCTCTTCCAGTCCTTTGTTTTTGTTTTTAAGTAATTGAGCTTTAAGAACTCTGTATGGCCTAGATACAGGTCCCGTATCAGACACGTGATTTACAAATATGTCCCCCCATTTTGTGTGCGGTCCTTTCACTGTGACAGTGCACTTTGAAGTACAGAAGTTTTAAATTTTGATTTCGTCCAGTGTATTTGTTTTTCCTTTTGTTTTGCTTGTGCTGTTAGTGTCACGTAAAAACCATGGCTTAACCCAAAGTCTCGTCCCAGCGCCATTTGTTAGAAAGATTGCTCTTTCCTCATCGAATGGACTTGGCATCTTTGTGCAAAGTCAGTTGATCTTTGTTTTGTTTTGGTTTTTCTTCCTGAGTCAGTTGATTTTTTTTTCCAAGTCAGTTGATCTTGAGCAGGAGGCTTACGTCGAGCTTTGTCTTCTCCTCCTCCCAGTGGAGCGGCTGTGGGCACGTGGTTTCCCTCTCAGTCTGCGTGCTCTCATTTCTCATTTACACGGGGGGCACAGAAGTGCTCCTCAGCTGGCCCGTTGTGTCACGTGAGAGATCCCCCTGAAAATGAACCTGAAGATACTTTATTAAGCACGTTGCCTCACCCCGACCACCCCGCCCTGGCTCTGGGTCTGCGGGGTGTTCCATCCTCGAGGCCCATGAATCATCATCCCCGTGGAGGCTGGGAGACCGGGTGGGGCCGCGCCGTGGCGGTGTGTCCCCCCCCCCAACTGGAGTCTGGCCTACTGGCTCCAGGCCCCATTCTTGTTTTGAGCAGTTCCTATTTTAGAATAAACCCACTGGAGTGGAATCTTCCCAGAGCCAATGAGCATAAACAAAAGGCCTCCAGGATCCACTCACCAGCTCTTGTTTAAATTAAAAGGAAAACATGTTTTCTTCCCTTTGGTGTGGGCTTGGCGTCTTTCATGTCTGCCCTCCCTAGGAGGGCGGTGGTGGTTGCCATTGGGAGCCCTCTCAGTGAGGAGCACTGTTTAGGTCTGTGGCTGGCGTTCCTGCACCATCAGACAGCCGCACTGGTCGGGGAACACCTGTTGGGAGGGCTCAGGAGAGGTTGGTCTCAGGGTGCCAAGAGGTGGGGGCTGGCGCTGCTCAGTCACTGGCTTCTGAGTCACCAGCTTGTACTCAGGATTCTGGGCCTTGTGGATTTGGGCCCCACCGGCCAAGATTCAGCAGCAGGAGGTGATCCCCACTTCCACAGGGATGCCACAGCTCTGGACCGGCCCCAGCCTGCACCCTGACCTGTATCATGTGTGCTCATGGTGACTGAGGCCCCAGGCCAGAGAGCAGCATAGGGGGCCGGAACACTCTTGGCTGCCCCGTGCTGGCTGGTGTCCTGAGGGGTGGGGGCTGTGCGCCCAGAGCACCCTAGGTGGCTGTTCATCTCTAGTCAACCACACACTTAACCTTGGGCACAGGTTTCGGGGGTGTTATGTAAGAAGGCCCCCAGCCTGTAGGAAGCTCCCCAGTGGATGTATGCTAGCTGCTTCGATAAGTGTAATCCTTGGAAAATCCTTCAGGCCTATTTTCCTATTTTCCAGATGAGGTATCAAAACCAAGGCCGCCCCACCTGGTGCCTATTCTTTCTTATTCCATCAGTGTCCACCAGACACCTCCCTCGGGCCTTGCCTGCCCTCGCTCTTCCCGGAGCTGATGGTGCTCTGCAGGGCTGCAGACTCCTGGCCGGCTATGGTACAGCAGGGCAGGGCTTTGTTGGGGCTGAGACTCGGGAGAAAGGCAAAGCCTCCCAGCTGGAGGAGAAGGGGCCTGGGGAGGCCGGAGTGGTGATACAGGGAAGGGGTGAGCCTTGCTTTGTGGCTTGCCTGCCAGGCCAGGGGTTTGGGCTGTCGCCCTGAAGGTGAGGTGGGAGACACACAGGCCGTCCTGGCAGTTGTGGCTTCCATCTCTTCAGGCTCCTGTCCCACAGACTTGGAAACCAAGGCCCAGAGAGGTGGCAACTCAGCTTTGTCCTCCCTCCCTTGGTGCTCCTGCCCACCCCCCTCCCTCCCACCCTGTGACTTCGTAACCTTTGTCCAGGCTGAACTCCCCCACCCCCGCTGTGTCCATTTGGAAAGAGGGTGTTCAGGTGACCTTTGGGGTGAGGGACCCCAGGGTAGAGTGGTCAGGGGATATGGGTTCGGTGCCCAAGTCTCTGCCCTAAGCACATAGTCCAGCCTCTCTGGAGCTTATTTCCGCCCTGAGGAAGTGGGCTAGGGGACAAGTGTGTAGGACATTCAGGAGCAGGCTGGCCCAGTGGACCTTTAGTGAGGGAGTGTCTGGGACTCTTGGGTGGCCCCTCCTTTTGCTCTCCTTTCACCCTCCATCTGTCTCCCTGGCTGGTGGGTCCTAGCTCTGAACACTGAGCAGTGCAGACCACCCTCCCCTTCCCCCAACCCCCATGGTAACAGCAGGCTCAGCCATGCTGTTCTGTCGGGGGAACCACTTCCAGGATAAGTGTCCATCTTCAGTCTCCCAGATCCAGAGATGCTGAGGCAGCAGCAAAGGGCCCGTTGCTTTGAAGAGAAGTCCGGGGTCATGGGGGCAGCACCGCTGTAGCCAGGGGAGATCCTGGCTCTTCTCCTTGAGGCTTGGGTGACAGGAACTCCCCAGGCTGCCCCTATCAGGAGTGTTGCTCTAAGGAGCTGGGCATGGAAATGGGCCCAGCTGGGAAGACATGGAGGAGGAAGCAGGAAAGGCCTGGACCTTACCACCAGGCCCTGGCTCCAGCGTTCCCTCTGTTCACAGGCAAGAGGTAGACAGTGGTTTCCAGGGACCTTTCCAGGCGCTGTTCTGTGAACTAGCATGTTCTTCTCTCCCTTCACCATCCCAGTGAGAACCCCCTGCCCACTGTGGAGATTGCCATTCGGAACACAGGAGACGCTGACCAGTGGTGCCCGCTGCTGGAGACCCTGACTGACGCCGAGATGGAAAAGAAGATCCGTGACCAGGACAGGAACACAAGGTACCTCCTCTCCCTCAGAGCGCCCACAGCCAGCTCTGCCCACAGGCACTGTCTTCCAGGCAGGTACAGAACCACCACCTTTCTCCAGGGGCCAGTTTCTTTCTGGGAGAGGACTGTGTGTCCTCGGGCGATGAGTCCCATTCTCTCCCCTAGGATACAGATGTCAAACCTTGTAGGGAACAGAAGCAAGCCCTCAGATTGACTGGGTCTGATCACAGCTCAAACCCAGGTTTCAGGACCCCTGAAGAGGTGGGCAGGGCCTGAGCAGGCAGGCGCAAGGACTGCTTCAGGGCCCCAAGGGCACACAGAGGCCAGGGCAAGGGAGCGGCTGGGAATCCCTCCTGCCTAGTCTCACTGTGTCTACTCCCCTGACCGCCCTAGAGAGCCCTAAGGTGGCAGATGCCCAAGGCTTGGGAGCTGGCCCTGGGTCACCACTTTCTCCTCTCCTACAGGCGTATGAGGCGTCTCGCCAACACTGCCCCAGCCTGGTAACCAGCCCATCAGTGCTTGGCTCCCACAGAGTGTTCAGAAGACCGGCCTGTCTCTCCATCTTCTGGCAAAGGGGGAGGCAAGGGGGCCGCCCAGGGCCGTCCTGAGCAGCACAGCATGGAGGCCTTCCAGGTCGCCCTCCCCGGGCACACTTTCCATTTGCTGAGCCCTAGTCTCCACCACCCCAGTCTCTGGTCAAGAAGAAGCCTCATTTTGGGTTATGTTTTGTTTTTGTATCGGAGCCCGAGGCAGAGCTAGTAACACTTTTTAAATAAAAGACGACAGGTCACGTTCCATTTCTTGAGAGTGGTAGCGTCATCATGAGAGTGGAAGCAAGCAGGGAGCAGGTCCTGTTGGGGTGGGGAGCTGAGGCTGGTGGGCCAGGGCTTCACTTCTTAGCACCTCCAGCCCCAGTGAGACCTGAGTTACAGTGGAGTCCTTGCTTTCTGGTGGGCCCTCCAGTCTTCCCCCAACCACTACCACCAGTGCTTGGATGTCTTTTTAAAGCACGAGAAATGATAGGTGTGGTGCTGAGGCTCAGAGGGCAGGGGTCCCCAGGCCCTTCAGTAAGCTCCATCCACTTTTCCTGCTCTTGTGAAGGCTTACCTGGCCAGGAGCGTTGTTTCTTTGGAGTCCCTGGCAGAGGCCCCACCCTTTTATGCAGACACTACGGGGGCGTCACCAGCCTGGGTGCCTGGGCCCGGCTATTCCAGCTCCAACAGGTGTGCGGCACTTTAGCCCCACCTCCCAGTAGTACACATATACCAGGAAGACTGGGGCATTGCCACCTCTGGCTAGCACATGGCCAAGGCCAGCTCCTCCCTCCCAGGCTGGTTGTGAGGAAGAATGTGTGTGGAGCAGCGCTACTGGCCTGGTGCCTGCCTGTGGGGTGGGAATATGTGTGGAGGAGGCACAGCCCTGGGTCTCTTCCCGGCTCTGCCTTCAATGAATGAGCCTGTCATCACCTCCTCTGTTAACGTGGCGATGTTCTGGCTCTACAGAAGGGACCTGCGTGGGACTCCCTAAGTCAATCACTGCTTGGTAAACTGAGCACACAGCTGCACTTACTGAAGGTAATGGACCCAGACCCCCCTGCACTGGGCTGGTGCCACCTTCAGTTGCTGGCAGGTCCTTCTCCAGCCAGAGTAGGCCTGAAGGTCAGGACCGCTCTGCTCCCTGGGAGCATGACAGGGGCCCCATGGCACCTGATTCCTCACCTGCGTAGGGATTGGGGCTCTCCGATGCCAGGATGTAGGGGGAGATGGGCCTTACCATCTAGGCTGGGGATGGAGGGGGTCCTGCGAGCATGTTCTAGGACGCGAAAGTTCCCAGGGAATCTGCACTCAGGTTCCTACCCTTCACCCAGGAGTGGAACTTTCTGGAGCAAGGGGCTAGTTGGGCTTCATTGGAAGGCCCTGACAAAGAAGATTCTAAACCCAGGCCCAGTTGGCCTTATAAACGAGTGGGCCCCATTAGCAAGGTGTTTGCTGTCTGTGGGCAAGAGATAGCCCTAGGGCCACCTAACTGGCGGGGTGGAGCGAACCCTGCCTGCCTCAGTCCCGCTGGGCAGGTTAGCCTACTTACCTGGGAGTGGCCTGGAGAAAGGCCAGCACCAGGCCTGGATCTGAGCCCACACTACTGCAGGGTCAGCTGCTGGCCCACAAGATTTCCCTACAAAATTAGGGTGTACTCTATAGCGAGTATATTGCATCCGTGAACATGACAAGCCCTGAGCTGTTGATCATCCAGGAAGAAGCCATAGTGCAGATTGGTGTAGGGCAGTGAGAAAGCTGGCCAGGTCATCTGACGCCCACTTTACAGAGAAGTGACCTGTGGGGTCAGATGGGGCTCCTGTGGTCCTCAGCTAAATTAAGGCAGGGATGGGACTTTCAAGGGTTCTTGGCTTCAGCCAATGCAGGGCTCAGGGAAGGCAAAAACTTCTCTAGGCTTTGGAGTCAGAAAGGACAGAGGACCCAGACCTGGCTCTCCTCTGCACCTGACCCCATGGGGCCTTGGCCATGTCTTAGTTGCTTGTCTGTTAGTTGCTCAGCTGGAAAATGGAGCAAAGATCCCTTTGTTGGTTGTTGGTGAGGGATGAGAGGGCTCAGTGCAGCGTTGGCCTGAGGGCACCACAGGCAGGCGCGTGCCCCCAAGTCCCACATAGACCAGGCTTGGCACAGCCAGGGGCAGCCTAGTGTTGATCCCTGCTACCAAGATCTGGCCAGCCCCCTCTCCTACTGGCAGAGAGCAGAGGCCCAACACAGGTGGGGTTTGCCCAAGTTTCCACTGAGGCCCTGGAGAGGCTGGGATGAGAACCTCGTGTCTGCCATCTGTCAGCCCAAAGCTCTGTCTGGCAACGGTGGGCTGGTTCTTGATTCTCTCTGGGTCTCCCATCCTTCTACCTGCAGTTGGTCTGAGAAGGCAGTCCAGGGCAGAGGGTGGGAACGGCGGACCAGGCTTGGTGGCTTTCGGTTAGAACCAGTAGCATATGCCCAGCAAGGAAGGGTGCAGCCAGGTGAGGGGAGCCAGTGCTGTGGGCAAAGAGGCTACAAATTATTCTGTTTATTTGATAGGTTGCTGTGCTGCAAAAACAGGGGTTAGGGATGGGATGGAGGCTTGACAGATGCTGGGGAAACAGGCCCCTGGGCTGGCCCTGGGTGGGGTCACTGCTGTGGCGGTCCTGGCTGTTCTTCAGGGAGGGGCAGGTAATTGGGGTCCTCTTCCGGGGCATCCAGAAGCAGCTTCCTGTGGGGAGGGGCCCAGGCTGAGCTGAGGCCAGCATGGGTCCCCCAGGGAGTCAAGAGCCATCTGTGGGAGAGTAGGGCAGGGTTGTCATCTTCAGTACTCACAGGAAGCTGGGGGTCAGCAGCAGCCTCTTGCCTCCAGGCTGGTTGGGAAAGACATCCTCCAGGAAGTAGTAGATGTGTCCCACAGCAATCCCTGTGGGAGAGCCAAGGACTGCCGAGGCCACTCTCGCTGCATGGTCTGGAGCCTGGGGCCCCGGGCCAGCACAGCCTGCTCTGGGCTTCCATGTGCAGCCCTGGAAGCCCAGCCAGGCCCAGAGAAACCTCAGGCCTCAGAGCATGAGTGTCTGAAGTCATGGGCAGGCTGCCAGCTCAGAATGGGGCTGGGGTTAGCCCTGGAGGAATTTACAGGACCCAGGACCTGGGGAGGGGAGGGCCTGAGAACCTCAGAGGAATGGGAGCCACAGCTGGAACAGTGACCTGCCCACCTGCACCCTGGTCGAGCCCCACACAAGCTTCAGCAGGTGAGGCCTGGATATGTGAAGCCTGCAGGCCTGCTGGCTTGTACAAGGGGCTGTAAGAAAAGAGAGGCAAGGGTGGGGATGGGGACATACAAATGAGAGGTCCAGTGTAGGTGAGAGGGCTGTGGCAGAGCAGCCAGCTTGGAATGGGCTGGCTGACTGGACAGGCAGGCTCACCCAGCAGGTCCACGAGGATCGAGTTGCCCAGCAGCATTGAGAAGCCCATGAGTGCCCAGGGCAGGAATGGCGCCTGGAACGTGAAGAGGCCGAAGAAGTTGACCCTCACCTGAGGGCTGCGGCGGCTCCATACATACACCAGCATGGCTGTAAGGGCCTGGCCTAGGAAGAACAGGCTGCCCAGGAACCCCAGCAGCTGGGCCAGAGTCAAGGTGCTAGGAGGCCCTCTGCTGACCGAGGCCTCAGTCCCTGCCCAGGGGCCCCTGACCTAAATCCCTGTCATCCTTACTGGTTTCCCTACCCTCATCTAGGTGTGCCTGTCCCGACTAAGGCCATAATGTATCCTTCAAGCCCCATGTGACTGCCCTGATTCTCCACCTCACCCCAGCCTCCCACCACTGCCCATCCTTGCCTCAGTTTCTCCTGCTGCTGGCATCTAGAGCTCAGCCCTGAAGCACCCCACCTGGCTCTCCAAGTCACCCTGTGGTGTGTGTGTGTATATATGTGTATATACATTTGTGTGTGTGTGTATAATTATTTTTTTGGCACAACCCTGAAGAGCTAGGGCTGAGCACACAATGCACCCTCAAAACACTTTAAGAGGCCCTCCCGGCCTGGGCATTTTGGTCGTGGCCCAGGACCAACACTGGCTGGTTGCAGAAGTGTCCTGCCCAAGGTTCTAGAGCCTGGGAAGGATACAATCATAAGGACTCCCCCAAAGAGAAACATGAAAACGAAGTCGGCCTTACGGCCACGGAAGGAACCCTCCTCCAGCATACGGCAGTACCGGAACCTGTCGAGTCCGTATAGGAAGTGCCACCGGAAAGGGCCTCAGTTTCCCGCTCCCAGCCATCTTAGCCCAGTGGGCCCGCCCACCCTCCATCCGGGTCCGTGCTGCACAGGATACACGAAGAGCATGTTGAAGAAGAAGCTGAATCCCAGGGGCCCGAAGAAGAGGAAGTTGGTGAGAAGTCTCCAGATCTGAAAGGGGCAGGCGGTTACGTGCGGGCCTGCGGGGCTGGGCCATCAGGTGCAAAGGAGAGGTAATCTCACCTGGAACTTTCGGAACACGAGGTGCGGGTTGAAGTAGAGCTGGAAGGGACTAAGGAGCTCCAGCTGCTGCAGAGTCAGGGGTGCGTCAGGTGCTGCCCTGGGATCCAACCGTAACCATGGTAACCCCCTCCCCTGGGCTTAACCATGGTGTCACCCCACCCGCCCAGTAAGCTCACCACGGCGGCTGTGGTGAGGACGCAGGCAGTGGTGTAGACCCGCGTCACCGCCGGCACCTGCAGAAACTCGGCCGCCAGCCCCTGCCACGCCATTGGACTTTTTCTCAGGCACGCGTGGCCCAAACTCCTGCCAGCTCTTAACCCGCTTCAAGCCCCGCCTCTCCACCTTTGGCCAATCCACTTGGGAGCCGCTGTGTGCCCCTGCTGAAAGAGACGTGGGGCCAGGTAACCAATAGGAGGAGGAAACAGGGAGTTGGGGGCGGGACGGGAGCGTGGGCGGATCGAGCCTTGGGACCAATGAGCAAGCCCCGCAGTTGAGCACGTGGCGGTTGTTGTGCTGATAGTGGTAGCGGCGCGGGAGAACGTGCAGCCAATGAGTGATTGGGTGCTTCGGCAAACTACGGGGAGGACCAATACCGAGGACCTACGGGGCTACTCTGGAGGCAGGGCTAAGATTAGCCGTAGTGGAAAAAAGACAAGATCCAGGCACAGCGTGACTGGAAGGGACGGGGACATGAGGTGTGGGTGGGGCGAGGCCGGACTCTCTGTGCACTCACTTTGGGCTGGGACAATCCGGCTCACCTCTGAGAACCAGAGACAGTGCCACCTCACCCACGGCAAGGGAGGCGGTCAGCAGCATGTCCAAATCCCCTCGCACGTCCAGGGACCTGCTTGATCACGTCAGCTCCTGTGGGGGAGTCTTCCTGGGGTCCCATCAGAGGAGAGGCCAGAATGGGGACTTGCAGACCCGATGAGATTCGATGGTGCAGAAATGAGCTGGAGCCGGTGGAGAGGCTGGAGGGGACCTCACACTACTTTGGTGGGAAAGAGAAACTCCATTTATTCACTGTATGAAAGTTAACTGTTTATTGACCACCTATTGCGTTCGTCACTGTTCTGGATCTTGTATGTGCAGCAGCCAACGAGACTATCCCTTACGGTGTCACTAAGGGGATCGGCAGTCATAGGTCTCTGCTAATATGAGCACAGGACAGTGTGCTGACAGAAATAACAGCTACGTAGGGGTGGAGGGTCAGGTAATGGGCCCCATGCTAGGATGGGGTGGTCTGGGAAGTCTCAATGAAAAGGTGATGCTTGATTGTTACTTTTAAAAGATTCCTTTGGCAGTCGTGGGGACAGTAGACTGCCAGAGGAATCAGTGAGTGGGAGGAAGCCTTGAGAGAACTGCAGGTGGGATGTGGGTTGGCAGGCAGACTGGGACAGGGCTGTGAGGGAGACATCAAGGGTGATCTCGAGGTCTGAACCTCAGGGTGGATAGAAGGCGGTGAACTCTTCCAAGATAGAGAATGCTTGAGGAAAATGGGGGCCCACTACCCGACCTTCTGCCCCTGACTTAACACGTAAATGGAGAGTCCTGTTCTGGCCTCACTGAGTTTGGGTGACATCAGCCTGGGAAAATCCAAGTGCTGTGTTAGGGAAGAGGCCAGGCAGATGATCTAAATGTAGTTATCATTAATCAGTAGACCAGTGGTGTTTGTAGTCCTGGGCCTGTATGGGATGTCCAAGGGGCAAGGCTAGACTGAGAAAAGAAGAGGCCAAGCCTGGGCAGCTCCACCTTCATTGGTCAGAGAGGCAGACCCAGCTGGGGAGGTGGGGAGGACTTGAGCCAGGGAAGGGCTTCAGGAGCAAAGCAGCGAGGAGTCCCCACATGCTGGGAAGGGACTGTGGGATGCAGCCATGCCGAGGTTCCCAGTGGCCAGGATAATAGCCAGCATGAGGGGGAAGAAGGTGGCCAGACCAATGCACCTTTACGAATGTTGGAGCTCAGCTTAGCCATAAGTGTGGAAGATGAGGGATGCTCTGGACAGGGCCCCGAGGTCCTCAAGAAGACTAGAATGGGGGAGAACCAGCCAAGGAACTTAGGTGGATCCCGAGAGGAGGAGGGACCTACAAAAGCACCAAGAAGGGTCCCCTGGGGACTGGCTCAAGGAGCCCCCCACTCTGGAGGAGAGGAGAGGGGAGGGGAGGGAGAGGCTGGGAGCACTGAAGGGAGATGTGCATTTAGTTCGGCAATGAGGAGAGGGCTGGCCTGGAACAGCAGGACTGGGACCAAGGTGTTGAGAAGTTGGGTGATGGGAGCAGGCCGAGGGAGCCCCCCTCAGCCAGCCTCCATTTTCCAGTGAAGCAGGCCAAGGTCATGTTTGAGGTGGGCCGGACAGAGTAGATGCCATCAAGGTGAAGGCATGGCAGCAGGGCCGGGATCCAGGGCCTCCGACGCCAGGGCGGGCACCTGCCTGTCATGAAGGAGCCAGCGAGGAAGGTCGGATTTCTTGTCTGCACGGGGAAGAGGAGGCACTCCTGCCTCCAGGCACTTAGCAGGCGCTGGCTGGCCCTCCACTCAGGGTCAGGCTGGGGCTAACAGGAGGGGCTGTCATTGTCAACAGGGGCGTCTGTCTCCCCTTAGACTGGGCCGATAAGGCAGGCGCCCAGTTTGAGGGCGGAGAAGCACATTCCTGGGAGGCCAGGAGCCCAGGGTGGGGGCAGCCTGCTGGGCCAGACATCTAGGGAGCAACGGCTGGCTTTCATTGCAGATTCTCTCCCCTCTCAGAGCTTTGGATTATCCTTGGATGGGGAGACTGAGGCCCACTGGGAGGCAGAGCAGGGCCTGTGGTCCAGTCCAGGCTTTTCCTGTCTAGTCTCCAGACCTGAGACAGGCAACTCTGGAGACACCAGGTCTATGTATTGTCTAGCCCTCCAGCACCTTCAGACAGTTATTCATGGAGAGAAGCCCTGGGTACCACACATTCCCAGGAGCCTAGAGAAAAAGGCAGGCAGTGTGCTGGATGCTAACATCTTTCTAGTGATTTGTCTAAAGCCCTGCTGGCTGGGCCCACCTTCTCTCTCCTGTGCCGAGGGCTGTGGCAGGAGGAGAGCCTGTGTTTCTTTGCCAGGGTGACCATGGGCCCTACTCCCAAGCTGCCTGTCTGGCCTTCAAACCTGCCTGCTGCTGCAGGGTAAGGAGCTCCAGGAGCCCCAGGTCTGGAGACAACCAGAGGACTCTTACATCCCCTGTCCAGGTTTTCTCAGTGCCTACAGGTAGGACAGCACCCCCTGGGTGCCCACCAAGCATGCCTTCCTCCTCACTGGCCTCACCCACCAGGAGAGACCCTCATCAACCAGTGACTATCCAGAAACCTGGGGCCACCCCTGCCCTACCCACTCCTAGTCCCACATCGAAGCTGATATTCCCATGGAACTCTCCAGTCCTTTCCCTCCCCTGCAACACACCTCTCCACCACCACCGCCTCTTACTTAGGCCTCAGCCTCTCGCTTCTGAGACTGCCCAGCTCTCTGGCTTTCATTCAGTCGTTTTCCTCCCCACCAGCCTGGAGGCTCTGTTAAGAGAGGAGAGCAAGGGAGCCCTTCCTGAAGGGACCAGAGCTCACAGACCTTCTGTTAGGGCCCCACACGCTTCCTTCATTCACTCATTCATTCATTCATTTTTATTTTAGAGAGAGGAAGGGAGAGAGAGAGCAGAAATGGGAGGGAGTGGGGAGGGAGAGAGACAGACAAACCTAGATCTGTTATTTACTTATTTGTGCATTCACAGTTGATTCTTGTTTGTGTCTGACTGGAGATCGAACCCACCTCAGTGTATGGGAAGATGCTTCAATCAGCTAAGCTACCTGGCCAGGGCTACTTAATTTTTTAATGTATTTTATTCCAAAGGCACCACAGGCCTGTGGTAACAAACTAGAAGAATCAGGAACAAGGTGCTTTTGTGTGCATGCGGGAGGCAGCTGCGTCTCCCTCTTGACGACACAGGGCACCCCTGCTGGCCCTGAGCACCCTCTGCCCAGGGCCTTTCCTCAGGGGCTGTGAGCTCTGAGCTCACTTCCTTCCAGTACGTGGACTCCCAGAACCACCGTGGGTGAGCCTCCACCGCAGCTTCAGCCAGCCCCTCCCAGGAGCAGCTGTGTCCCCGTTGGCCCTTCCTGTCTGGGCCATGCAGTATTTTTAGCACCGAATCCGGAACCTACTCGGCAGCAGCTGCTCGTGGCCGGAGGTCAAGAATAACAAACCGTCCAGGTGGGCCGTGTCAGGCCTGGGCCTGGCCCGCTGAGCCTGGTAGCAGAATCTGCACTTGGCAGGAAATAGTGGGTCTCTGGGTGGGATGAGCAGGGAGGAAGCAAAGGCCGAGTAGGCATTAGCCAGACCCAACAGGGGAATAGCCTGTGCAAAGGTCCTGAGGTGCCATGGAGAGACAGGGCAGGCAGGGGCAAGGAGGAGGGGCTGCGTGCAATTCGAGGCTGGAGAGGGCTGTGGCCAGACAGGGCCGTGGAGGCTGTGGTCTCTGTCCCAAGGGCAGCGGGGAGCCGAAAGAGAGTGTTCAGCATGGTGGTGAGGTATCAGATGGTAGCTCTTTGGAAGAAGAAGAAGGGGACAAGTGTATAAGCAGTGGCCTGCAGTGGCAGGTCCATGACAGAGAGGGAGTGAATGGGTCAAGGAGGTGGAAGCCACAGCCCCTAGCTCTTGGCAGAGGGCTGAGACATGGGAGGCGGCCAGGTTCAGGATGGAGACCACCCATGGTCTGGACTGGTTGAGTCTGGGGTGCACTGGGGACATGACTGCCTCCCTGGCCACCCAGCCCAGTCCTCCCAGCTCCTTGCCCCCTGTGGCCCTTGTCATGCCCTCAGAAGCTCTGTGCCATGGTCTCTCTCTGTCCCTGGTGTCTGGTGCAGTGCTGGGCACAGGCAGGCTTCAGATCTGAACTCTGGGGGCGGAGCTGCCGCCTGAGGCTGGTGGGGGCCCTGGCCACTCCCCTCCTCCCGGCCTCCGTGTTGCTGTCTGTGAAACAGGCCGGTTGGAGGAGTGCATCTGTGGACTTCCCTGTAGCTTGAAGGCTGTACTCTGCCCTACGGTGGGGATGTTCAGGATTTCTGGACAGTGGTTTCTTCCTGGGACATCATGACCGGCCTTCCCTACCAAGTCCAGTCCCTGCAATGAATGAGCCAATGTCTGTGAGCAAGAAGGCACTGGGGAAGAACTTTCTCCCAAGCCTGTGCCCTCACCCGCCTGCCTGATCCCAAGCTCTCAGTGGCTTGTGGTCAGGAACACCCGTGGAAGCCCGAAAGGCACAGGATGGGGCAACAGGGCTGCCCCGTCCTGCAGGCGCTGATCCTCTGGCCAGGGAGACTCAGACTCTCACACTGAGTGGGGTAGGGGGGTGTCCAGGGAGTGGCCCAAGGACAAAGAACCACAGGCCCTCTGGGGGCCTGCTAGGGGGGAGGGCTCCGGACAAAGACGGTGGTGGAACGCAAAGAAGGGAGGGCACGCCAGGCAGGGAGAATGGCTTGAGTAAAGGTGTGGAGGCAGGAACGAACTCTTGTCTCATGCGTGAGGAAGGGCCACTCTGGTGTGGGGGTGCTCAGAGTCAGCCCCTCCGGGGATAGCAGCTGCTCAGTGGCCTCTCGCCTAACTCTGTGCGAGAGGTTTTGCTAATCTTACGTAAGCCTCACCAGCCCCTTATAAAGTAGGTTATTATTACAAATGAGGAAATAGGCTCAGAGAGGTTAAGTAACACACTTGAGGACACACAGCTAAAGAGGTACCAGGACATAGTGTGCCAATCCTAGCTTTGCCACCATGAGGGTTGATGGAAGGGGCTGGTGGGGAGGTGACAAATTGTCTCCACCCTATTTTGGGGACATAGAGAAGATTCATCACCTGCCTGAGCCCTTGGAGGGCATCACCTACCAGCCGGCACCATGCAGCCCAATTTCTCTGCCACCTCTGGGCTCCTGGAGTGTCTCCGGGGTGACGCTGCTCCCTTGCTGCTCCCCTGCTGAGCAGCTTGGGCATGTGGCTCCCTGTGTGTGCCTCAGTTTCACTGTCTCCGACCCCCGATGACTGGATGAGATGTTGCCACTCAGCCCCAGCTGCCAGGTGAGCCTGAGCCTGTGCCTGTGCCTGTCTCTGACAACCCTCAGCAACTGCCTCTAGTCCCACTTCCTGCTGTGGCCACTGCCAGAATGCCAAAGCCACCTCAGCCTGTCCCCAGAGTCCCAGTGTCTAGTGGGGCCTCCCCCTCTCAGACCTCAGCTATTTTGGGGCTCGGTACTTCAGGCTGTGTTTTGGGAGAAGCAGATTATCTGTGCAGCAGCCTCCACCAAGTGGCAGGGCCACAGTGAGAGTCTTCACAAAGACAGAACCGCGAGACAGACCCGAGAGAAGGCTGCGAGGCTGCGCTGCTCTCCCGGGAGGCTGCACGCCGGGGCCTGGGCAGTGCGGCCCTGGGGTGCCGTGTGGGACTTGAGGCCACCCTGTCCTACAGTCTTCCTACTCATCACCTGCTGGTCAGATCAGCAGGCAGTTCTGGTCTGTGGCCTGGCAGGGACTTGGGATGACAGGGGCCACCGCTCTGGGAGCACCTGCCCAGGACTAGTGACTCAGCTCTGGGCAGGTGGATGGAGAGGCTCAGAAAGTCCGAGGCTTTACTCACCACCCACCCGGTGTTCACCACTGACATCCCCGCCAAGCAGCCCAGGCCCTGCTCACCCACATCCAGGAGGGATTGCCCCCCGTTCCAGGTGCTTGCTGGGCCACTGAGACAGGAAGCTCATACACGTGTGCTGGGACAATGACCCAGGCGTCCATGTCTTCTGCTGGTGACACCTGTGGAATTCCTGCCTGCACATTTTGCTCAAGACACTCTCCCAGCCCTCATGCTCTTCACTTTCACGAGGTGTTGAGGGCCTCTTTAAGAAAACAAGTACAAAATTACAAATGCAAGCTTAGGTGCAGAAGTGAATATTTGCTTAGAATTAGGACAAAACAAATGACAAGTTCATAAAAGTGACAAATACTACCCCAAATCATAAAACCCAGAAAAAAATTCCCTCCCTGGCCTGAAGCCTGTGGCCGGGTGCTTGCTGCGTGTTAACCTGGGCCCCGGGTGTCCCCTCTGTATGGCTGAGGAAACTGAGGCTGGGGTGTGGGGAGAGCTTGAGGAAGGGGTGATGGTGGACCCAAAAAGGGCTGGGCTGCCTGTTCAGCTCCATCCCAGAGCTGCGCCAGGTGACGCAGTCACAGAGGACGGCTGCTTTGGAGTCTTCCTCTCTTCCTTTTCGTGGGCCCTGCTGGGAAGCGCCTCCCCCACCATGGAATGCCGACATCAGCCCTTCAGACTCCGGCCTAACCGCTGCCTCCCCCGAACCCTTCCCTTCCAGATGTGGGTGCAGCTGTATTTTTAGAACAGCCAACCACGAGGACATTCTTTCCTTCTAATTAAGATGACTTAAGTCTCCTATCCGCAATCAGCCCCATTGTTCAGTCCTCAAATATCAAAGAGTGGTCAGGAGGTGCTGCCTCAGCTGGTTGTAGGTTGGGTTTCTTTCTTTCTTTTGAATCATTAAGTTGGAAATGTGACCCAGAAGTGGAGTAAATGCCAGCTCTGAGGTGGGGGGAGAGCAAAGCAGGATTTTAGGTGGAGCCCTCAGGAGCTGCCCCAGGGCCTTGCCCTCTGTACCCCTGCTGGGGCTGAGCACGTCTGACCAGGCCGCAGACCCCCATGTTTACTCACCCAGGGGTAGGGTCTGTCTGGGGATCATAAGAGGGACTGTGCCTACCCTCAGGATGCCCAGGGCTGGACCAACAGACCCACACAGGAGGCTGAGGGCCCAGTGCCTATGTCTTCATTTTGCAGGTGTGCAAATGGGGGCTCAGAGAGAGGATGTACCTGGTAGAACTGCCAGAGCATCTTTGGTGTCCGCTACAGCCAGGCCTATGGCCAGCCTGTTACAGAACAGACACACCGGGCCCAGAATCTGGAGGATGGTATACTAATACTGCCCGGACCACCTACTGGGCTTGATTATCCCCCACCAATCGGAAAGACGGCTCTCAAGGCCAGAGATTTGTGAAAAGGAAAGGAAATGTTTATTTACGGCTGTACAGACTTAAAGTAGTGACCTAATGTCTTCATTAAAATATCAAAGTCCTTTAGGAAACCCACATACGCCCACAGCGCTCCCTTCTCCCCCTGCCCTAATTCAGGGTACGTAACTCAGGAAAAGAGCACACGTCCGTGTTTCCAGGCTGCTGGCACCATCAGCTGTGTCGCTGTCCAGGTAGGATCTCTAATTAATCCAAAGTCATGTGGCACCTTCTCACGGTCCACCGGCAAGAGTTCTTTGTACCCATTTTTCCAGGCAAAGTCTCTCCTGCTTCCCAGGCCACACAGCCAAAGGGAGCACCCCTAAGCCGCGTGGGCCTCTTGTACCAAAGCTGCCGGGGTCTGCACTCTGTCCAAAACCACATAGTTCTTTCTTCCACCAGAGCTGTGGGGATCTGCACTCTGGCTAAGCCTCTCGGTTCTCCCTTCTTCCACCAGAGGTAAGAGGGGGTCCTCACTCTGCCAAAAGCACATGGCTCTCTCTCAATGGCTGCTGTGTCTGGTTTAAATCCCTGAGCCAATCTTCCTCCGTATCCCCATTTCCGACTCCTCCCACAATCAGTTACACCTGCCAGCATTCCTGTATTATTCCAAGTTTACTGGGCTGCCATTGTGAGTCTGGGCAGGTATGGCCACATGTCCTGGAGCCAATCTTCTCCTAGCTCCCACGCAGGTGCCGTAAATCGGGGGACCTGCCCCCCAGTTCCATCTTGGGGGAAGTGACTTTCATTGGCCTGGCTCCAAACATGGCCACAGCTATTTAACATATCCAAGTGACCCGTCAAAAGCTATAGATATGTTAAATGACCATGCCATGGACTAGCTGCAAGGCTGTGGCTGTACAAAAGAGCTCTGCATGTTCCTGCTCCACGTGTCCCTTCCCCCAACTGACACCTGTGGGGGAAGGGGTGAGGACATATGTCTCTCCAATATTTCCTAGAATACCTTGAGTTCTGGACCCCATTCCAAATCCCTTTTTGGGCCCCCCTCTTGGCTGCACCCTGTATCAAGCCTGCTGGGCTTGGTGGGGGCTCATTGCCGACTCCAGCAGCCTGGTGTCCAAGATCAGCAGACCTCCTGACCGACCTCCACCAAGACGCCACCTCGGGAGGGTCCTGGTGTGGGGCACAGATACCAGTCCACATGGGAGGAACAAGGCTGTAAGGAGGAGGGCCTTTGAGTTGCCTCACACATGGAGCAGGAAGAGGCTGCAACACTTCCTGCAAACCATAGCTAACATGAGGAAACTGAGTCTCAGAGAAGCAGAAAAGTAGGCCCAGAGCAGCTCAGCCTACTGATGGTCAGGCGCTAGGTACCCCAATCTGCTGTAGGGGCCTACCCACCACTCACCCTAGTGATGGACAGGCCTGCTGCTGGGCGGACCCTGGAGGGGAAGCCAGGGGAAGCCTCAGTCCTGGATGTAGGAGGAAAGCGCCTACCCAGACTCCTGCCCCACCCTCGTGGAGCATGGGGGTAGGCACACAGTATGGTAGAAGCCAGGTGGGTCTTGATGCCAGGCCTCCAAGCCCACCTGGTGCCTAATTAACCAGCTGCACCCGACAGAGGAAGTGAAATCACCCTAGGGCGGGTAGAGCCGGGGGCGCCTGAGTCCGGGGGTCACGGATCAGGAAGGACTTGGGTCGGGGCGGCCCAGCAATGCAGCCACTGCACCTGGGGCAGCGCTGGCTTAGGCCTCTTTGTTCTCCTGCCCAGACGAAACGCTGCGGAGGGGGCGGAGCTCGGCGGAACAGAAGTCTTCAGAGCCCGGGCTCTGTCTCCCCCTCGCGGCCGGAGCCAGTATCGTGGTGTCGGGCAGATTCTGGAAAACCGGAGTGGGCGGGGCCTTGGGCGGGGTCGATGGCTTCCCTGAGGGTCTAGAGGCCAAAGTCCTGGGACACCCGTTTCCCTAGCCCAGGTCCCCGGGGCCTGAGTAACAGCAAAGGCATTTTGTGGGGCCATCCGGGTCGGGGAGGCGGCCCCGCCAGTTCTGCAGGCGTAGGGAGCAGAAGAGCCAGCAGGCCGGGGGTGGGGGCAGATTCGGTGGAGTGAGTGCCAGCTGCTAAGCTACGGTATATTATTCTTTAGTGTGAACCGCGCTCCTCCCGGCTTCCCGCCCAGTGCCAGGCGAAGATCCCCGTCGCTGTGGGCCTCAGTTTTCCCATTTGCAGAATGGGAAGCCCTAGCGTGTAGGAAGGAGCGTGAGGGCGTGGACTCTCAAGGCGAGGGAGGGGTGTCATCACCCAGGACTGCCCGCAGGCCATTGCAGTCCATGAACAGCTGATGGCAGGTCACCCCCTCCTCCCCTGACCCCCACCTTCGCCTTCTCACCCGGGAAACCGAGACTAGGTAAGAAGCAAACGCGGGAAGCCCAGGGCAGGAAGGGAGGGTGTTCAACACGCCCAAACTTGTGTGGGGTTTGGGGGCGCTGTTGGGGCTAGGCAGGCTTGTCTTCATCCCTCAGGGTACGCTCCCTGGACTTGGAGCTGAGAAAGACCAACTCCGACTTCCAGCAGGATTGTTGTGGGCAGGTTGCCACGGGCACATGCTTGACCTTGTAGAGTCTGAGACTGCGCAGTAAAGGAGGCGGAAGCCACCCACTGTGGGTTGAGAGGACCGGCATCAAAACTGGGCCCACAAATACAACCATGGCTTTCGTATACTCAAGGTTAATATTTGCCAAAGAGAAGTCTCCAGCTTCCTGGCCTAGGGGTAAAAATTAATGGGGAACCCATGCACGGGGGCGGGGGAGCGGGGAGCCTGATCCAGTAAGGTAGTCAGGTGGCATTTCAGGGAGAACTGAAGGGGAAGGGTGGGCAACCAGGTATGTTCACAGCAGTGATCCGGGTGGCATACATACAGCCTGGCAAGGCCCTGGACTCAGAATGTTAAATCTAGTTCTGAGTTTGGCATTTATCGTTCCATGCACACCCTCAAGTTCTTACTACATGTGTGTATATTCCTACCCAATATAAGACATAAGGCGTGGTTTGGTGTATTTCCAAACTTCATGTAAAGGCTTTAGAGTCTGTGCCACTTTCTACATCTTTATTCACACAACACTGTGATTTACCTGTGTTGATAGGGTCCCTCCAGTTCCTTGCTTTTCACCAGTGGCTTTCAAGCGTGTATCGCAATCTGTTTCTCCATATTCCTGATGATTGGCAGTTTTCTGATAGAAACAATGCTACATTTGTGAGCAGAAGTTCATGAGCCTGGGGTTAAGAGTTTCTCTAAATCAAACCCAGGAGTGGAACTGTGGGAATTGCTGGGTTACCAGGTATTTCCAGCGTCAATGTACTAGATACACCCAAATGGCTCTTCGAGTTTCTGCACCAATTTATATTTTCATCAACCATACGAGCCATTCCAGCTGATTCTTACCTCCTTGGTATTGCCAGAATTAATCGGCCAGCCTGTTGAGTGTGAAACAATGTATGTTGTGGATTCCATTTGCATTTCCTGGTTGCTAACAACAGGTGAGCATCTTTTTATTCTTTTTGGTTGTTTGCCACTTCAGTTTCCTCTTCTGTAAATTTCCTGTTCACAGCCTACACCCATTTTCTTTACTGATGTGTGGGAATTTCTTACATATTCTGAATACAAACACTTTGTTGGTCGAATGCTTGTGGACACCTTCTCCTAGTTGGTAGCTTTTAGCTTCACCTTTTTATGGTGTCTTTTAATACATAGTTTTCTGGTTTTTTGTTGTTGTTCAATTACAATGGTCCCCAGTATCCCCTCCTTACTCTCCTTTGCCCTACCCATCCCCACCTCCCACACTCAATCGTAGCCCCTCCTCCCCTTGTCTTTGTCCCTAGGTCCTTTATACATGTTCCTTGATGGCCCTTCGCCTTTTCAGTTACCCTCTCCTCTCTGGTCACTGTCAGTTTGTTCTCTATTTTCACATTTCTGGTTCTATTTTGCTCACTTGTTTGTTTTGTTGATTAGGTTCCACTCATAGGTGAGATCATATGGTATTTGTCCTTCACCGATTGGCATATTTCACTTAGCATAATGCTCTCCAGTTCCACCCATGCTGTCACGAAAAGTAGGAGGAGCTCCTTCTTTCTGCTGCACAGAATTCCGTTGTGTAACTGTACCAGAGTTTTTTGATTCTCTCATTTGCTGATGGGCACTTAGGCTGCTTCTAGCACTTGGCTATTGTAAATTGTGCTGCTGTGAATACGGGGGTGCATAGGATCTTTGGAATTGGTGTTTCACGCTCCTTAGGGTATAATCCCAACAGTGGAATTGCCTGGTCCAAAGGCAGTTCCATTTTTAACTTTTGAGGAAATGCCTTACCGTTTTCCACAGTGGCTGCACCAGTGTGCACTCCCACCAACAGTGCACGAGGCTTCCCTTCTCTCCACAACCTCGCCAGCACTTGTTGTTTGTTGATTTGTTTATGATGGGCCACTCTGATGGGTGTGAAGTGGTATCTCACTGAGTTAACACACAGTTTTAATTAATTTTAATGATGTTAAGTCTTCGTAAGAAACCTATGTGGCTTATCCTTACTTATCCCAAAGTTATATATATATTTTTAAGATTTTATTTATTTTTTTAGAGAGAGGAGAAGGGAAGGAGAAAGAGAGGGAGAGAGACATCAATGTGTGGTTGCTTCTTATGCATCCCCCACTGGGGACCTGGCCTGCAACCCAGGCATGTGCCCTGACGGGGAATCAAACCAGCAACCCTTTGGTTCACAGTCTGCCCTCAATCCACAAAGCTATACCAGCCAGGCCTATCCCAAAGTTATAAAAGTATTCTTTACTTTCTTCAAAAATGGTTAGTGTTTGGCCCTGGCTGGTGTAGCTCAGTGAATTGAGTGCGGGCCTGTGAACCAGACAATCACGGTTCGATTCCCAGTCAGGGCACATGCCTGGGTTGCAGGCTGGTTTCCTGCAGGCCAGTTCCCAGCAGGGGATGCACGAAAGGCAACCATACATTGATGTTTCTCTCCCTCTCTCCTTCCCTTCTCCTCTAAAGATAAATAAATCAAAAAATATTTTAAAAAATGTTTAGTGTTCTTTTTGCAGTAGGTTTGTGCGCACCCGAACTGGTTTTATGAATGGGCTGAGGCAGAGGCCCATTTTCACTTTCCCACAGAGATAATCAATTGTCCCACCACCGGTTATGATTAGGCCATTGTTTTTAACTCTGATTTTTTTGAGGGGGGAAAAAGTTGTTTTGAAAAAAAATTACCTAAATAAATTATCAGCAACTGAAACAAGCAATGTGTTAGTAGTTGCAGTTACATTATGAGCCAACTCTGTTTACCTGGAGAATTCAAAGAGAGTTTACCAGTAGGAATGCTACTGAGGTAACTGAGCTCTGAAACAGAGTCGAGGAGAAATCCTTGGCCCTGGTTGGGTAAGTCAGTTTGTTATAGCCGCTTCCTGATAGGCCAAGGGTGTGGGTTGGATCCCCAGTCAGGGCACAGATGAGAATCAACAAATGAACATATAAATGAATGGAACAACAAATCTGTGCTTCTCTTTCTCTCCCCCCTCTCTCTTTCTCGTCTCTCTTTAATATCAATGAAATTTTAAAAATTTAAAGGAAAGCCCTTATGATCATCTCAATAGATGCACAAGAAAAAGCATGCAGTTTGCACTGTTAATGTTTTATGTATTGCATTTTCCCTTAAAAATGGTGTTTTTAGAAATGATTCAAAATTCAGGGCAGCAAAAATCAACCAAAAATGAAGTATGAGCAACAATGATGCTGCAGTATCTGTTCTGGTAAATATGTCTGGTGTATGTCTATGGGTCTTTGCTCCGTCATGCTCAGGTCTAAGTTTCTGTGACCCACAGATAGCGTCTTTGGCAAGGTCTGATTTCGGTTTGGCGTTGTCCTACTCATGGATTCCGTGCAGGGTGTGAGAATCCCCGAGAAATAAAAAATTAATCCAGCCCAGTGGGCCCTGGCTCCTTACCTCTGAGTGCGTCCGGGCTGGAGGCTTGACCGGCCCCTCATGTAATGAATTCCCCAGCGGCAACCTGAGACCGGCTCTCCGCCTTCAAGTCACCTGCTCTGTCAGAAGGGACAGATGAGAGCGCTCCAGAGACTGGTGGGTCTGTCTTTTGGTTCTTCCTAATTCTGCCCCTCCTCTAAGGAAAGTGTGGGTCCCCCCTGAACGGCGGGAGGATGAAGATGTCTGTTTAGAATCAAGGGCTCGGCCTTCAGAATGTGCCCGGGTCAGGGGCCTCCCGGGGACATGGGACTCCTGGGTACTGGTGGTGAACTGGGAGCCCAGATTGGGGTAAACGGAAGCTGGGCAGAGGGGATAGAGGGGACGGTGACGGAGGTTCGAGAAGGAGCGAGGCAGGGGCCCGCAGAGATTTATTTCAGAGACTGCAGCGGCGGAGGGAGGGAACGAGGGGCCAGAATTTCGGGTGAGTCTGTAGCGCGGTGATCAGACTATCGGCTGCGATCTGCAGAGGTGCATGCAGGGGGGATCGGCCGGGGTATCTTGCACCAGAGGTCCCTCTCAGTGCACAGGTGGGCCCCAGGCTCAGCCGAGTAAAGAGTGGCTTTTCAACCACAGAAGTGCGGAAAAGAAGGGTTGGAAAACGAAGAGAAGCTACCCTTACAGCCTCGGATGCTAGTGACCGACTCCTGGGACGACCCCTTCCCTTTAATTCTTTGTGCCCCTGCGCGTGCGCCTTGGCCGTGCGCTCTGGGGGTGGCTAAACTAAGCTCACTCACCATTGCAACACACACTGCGCTTGCGCGACAGCTTAGGCCCCCAGATTGATTTGCGCCTCCCTCAAAGGTCCACTGCGCGTGCGCTTCCACCTCTCAGCCCACACGCGCTACTGGTGTCCTGTTGGAATGATTGCACCACCTTTCCCGCTACGCGCATACCGGCCACTGTTACCCTTGATGCTGGAGAAATGTGTGTGCGCTTCATGCCCTCCAGTGATCTGCAAAGGTCAGAATTCCAAAACCCGCTCGGCCCTGGCGTTTCAGATGAGGAATTGTGGCCCGGAATGAACTGCATAGCTGCAGCCACTACAGAAGGCTTAACACAGAAGTCAGATGTACAAAAAATATCTCGTGCTTGTTTGTACACTGTGTGGGCTCAAAAGAGCATAGGCAGGTGCTCTTTTTGTTTCACAGGGATGGTCTGAGGGCTAGTGCAGGATTGCATGGGCTCCCACATCTGCAAGACCTTCCAGCATCCCTGGTGATGCCTGCGCAGTCCTTGTGTCCTCGTGCAGGCCAGACACGCTGCGACCGGGGCTGCCTAGGCCCCTTTGACTGTTTCCTACCCTCATCTCTTTCCCCAGCCTTCACCTCCTTCTCCATGCTCCCATTAAACCTTCTCTACCTCCTGCATCGCTGAGAGAATGGGGGCAGTCCACACCGCCTGCCCCATCTCTGGGCTTCCCCCCCACCTGCACTGATTTCCAGGAGCTATCTGGACGGCCCTTTCCCTGATGTCCCTTAGGTCTGTGCGGATGCCACCTTCTTAGGACACATTCCTGACCACCCTCTGCAAACACTCCCCCACACCCTTTTCTTCTTCGGTCTCAGCCGCACCAGCTGACTTCCCAGCACTGTATATTTCCCTTGTCCATGTTGTTGTCGCCTGTCTTTCCCCCCCTGGAAGGAAATCTCCACGAGGTCACAGATTTTGTCTCTTCTGTTCACTGGTATATCCCCAGCACCTAGTGAAACCAAAAAAGTTGGTGTTTGTGCAGCCTGTCACCACCAGAACCAGTGAGCAGAGACAGGGATGGACTCTTCATGGGCGCTTTATTCAGAGGGCCGGCGAGCTGAGAAGATGGCGGGTTGTATAACCCAACGGATCCTCTTACATTTCCTTTCAAGCCAGCCTTTCTTAAAACCGGTCAGAGGTGTGTAGGTAAAGGGTCTGGAGTTCAAGGGAAAGAGTGTGAGGGATTTGGAATTCAGGAAAGAGGTTAATCAGGTAAAAGCTGCAGTCCAGCAATTTCCCCTAACATCCTTTCATCTGCTGACCGGTCATTTTCTTTATCTGTGTCCTGTGTCCTGGGCAATTTTCTTTATCTGTGTCTTGGGCTATGGACTGTCTGTGCCTGAAACACAATGGCTTGGAGACCACCTTGATCGCTTATGGTCTCTTGTGGAGCACGAAGGTCCATGGCTGTGGTCTCCTGGGGTCCGGGTGGACAGTACTTGTAGATCCTGAAGCAACAGCTTTTCACATGCATTAACTACTAGGCTTATTAACTAGGACCTAAAACTAAATTTCCCAACTCTTAAGTTCCCTCATCACCAGAACAGTAGGTTTATGGGCCATAGTAGGGAGGCAAAAAATATTTGTTAACTGAATTAATAATCACTGTCATAGCTAATGTCTGAGTGTTTTTCATGAGCAGTCATGGCTCTAGGCAATTTCCATGAACCGTCTCAGTGAATTAAACAACTTCCTGCTGTCTTGGAGCCCTGCGTCTCCTGCCACATGGGCTGGGCTCACCTATCATCAGGCTTTGTGTCTGTTGCTGCTTCCTGTAGATCTGCCATCTTAGTGGAACCCTCAGCTCCAGACGGCCTGTGCCGAGATTCAATGTGGCCACCACAGTGAGACGAACCCCCTGGGTCCTCCCCTGACTGCCTCCTACGGCTTGGGAGGAAGTTATGTCGGCCGTGTAGGGATCGTGGGCGGTCAGGGTGCCTGTCATGGGCCTGTCTGCAGACCCGTGGCTGAATCCCGCCCCCTGGAGCCTCTTCCTCTGCCCGCCTCCCCCCGCACTCCCTCACAGTATCTCACCAAAGGGTAGATGCGTGCCTGTCTTGTCCCTGGCTGTACCTGTCCTCAGCACAGGTGGGAGGTGGGGAGGTAGTGAAGTCCTGGACTCAGAGCAGAAGGCTGGGCTCTGCTATCTGCCAGCCATGGGACCTGGGTAACTCCTCTGTGCCTCGGTTTCCCCTCATTGCCTTGTTCAAACCAATTGTGATGCCGTAATTGGTAGGTTCTGGTCCTGGGAGGGAGGCGGAGGCTGTTGTTAACCACTCTGTGTTCTCCCTTCCCTCCTTAGAGTCAGGGCAGAGTCCTGCTCATGACCGTCTGTGCAGCTGGCATTGGTGGGACTTTTCAATTTGGCTATAACCTCTCCATCATCAATGCCCCCACCTTGGTATGTACCTCCTGTGCCCACTATCGCCAGCCAAGTGAGTGCTGGGTGTGGGCTGACAGTTGGCCCCTGTGGGGGTTCAGGCCAGCACCTGCTTGGTGGGGTTTTCTCCCACACCTCCACCTCCACTGGGATGTCTCATAGGTCCTGCAAGTTCAAGTCCAACTCCGCATCCTCCTCTGAACCCACACTCTTCCTGTTCCCTGATGTCAGTTGCCGCTGTCCACCCAGTGACTGGGGGTCAGCCTTTACTCCACCCTCCCTCTCTCAGACACCAAGTCCTTCTTAACTGTCTCTAACATGCAGTTGTTTCTCCCCATGTCTCTGCCTCAGCCCCTGTTCAGGTTCCATCTCTCCTGCCTGGATTGCTGGTCCAGCCTCTTTACTCACCTTCCTACCTTCAGCTTCGCCCCTTCTAGGTCCTCTCAAGTTTGATCAAGCCCAGAAACATTTTGCGTCTTCCTAGTGCCTACAGGCACGAGTGCAGACTCACCCACCTGTGTGAGTCTGGGGTCAGAGCCTTCATCTGTCTACTTTCATTCCCCAGTGGCACTACCCAAGCGGGTTATGCAGCTCCCCAGGGGCACACAGCCCTTCCTCGAACCCTCCTTTCTCTGGGAAGCCCCTCAAGAACCACCTTCCAGATGCCATCACCCTCCTAAAGCCTTCCTTAAACAACCCCCAAGCTGGAAGTCACCCCTGTCTCCCCAGCCCTTGGTGCGGGTCGTGTGTTGGTTGTTTTGGGTCCATCTTTTCCTCCTGTGAGTCCCCAGCAGCTGGTGCTGGCCTGACCCCTGTGGATGTTGAGTGCGGGCCTGTGGAAAGGATGGGTCATTGTGCCCTGGTGATAGAAGCCTCCTCTTACTTGCTTAAGTAAGAAGGGCAAGTGTCCTGTCACAGAGCTGGGAAGAACGCGGGGCTCCATTGGGGGGGGGGGGGCTGCAGGAACCAGGCCCCAGGATGGAACTGGGGCTCTCCTGTTCCTGCTGGGCCTCAGGCTCCACTCAGTGACAAGGGAGCAGCTGTCACCAATTCACTTTCTGCTAGTTGGGAGGCCCCAAATAAGTCTTCCTGGGTAGCTCCAGCAGAAAGGCCTGGGAAGGGTGACCAGGTGGCTTGGGTCACATGCCCACCCCAGCCCAGTCGTGTGGCTCAGACGGTGGAGCACTTCCATTGGCTACGTCTGGCTCAGGTGACCACATTTTAGGGGCTGTAATTGAAAACAGGAGAGCACTCACGTTGGGCGGTAGCAGAAGCCCAGGTGGGAGCCCATTCTGAGCAGAAACAATTGTAGCAGCCCAGCCCCATAAGGAAATAATGAAATGATGGCTTCTGGGGAGTGGGGGGGGGTCTGAGCTAGCTGTGCTTATTTGTGCGTTCATTGAACAAGGGTGGGAGTGCCCACTTCAGAGCAAACCTCCTGGCTGGGCACTCTCACCCCTTGTCTCCTGTGGGCCATCACCAGTCCCCCCAAATGGGATTCTCCTGGCCCCAAAGGGCTCCACTACCACACTGAATGGTCACTCTTGAGTTCCAGCCCAGGTCAGCTCCTCTGGACAGGTCATTCCTCCAAAGGAACCTAGCGGGTGCCAGGCTGACAGCCTGAGCAGGAGGGAGCTGGCCTGACACCCAGCCCACTGCCCTCCTAACGTCCTCCCCCACATCCGTCTGGGAGGCCTGAGGAGCCGGATACTGGCATTTGGTCTCTCACCAAGGCAAGGAGGGTGTTTGGGTCTTTCCTCGCACACTGTCCTGAGAGGCAGATCTGGGGGTGGGGTCCTGGGGTGTCTGAACTACCTGGCAGTAGCCCTAACCTGTGGCTGAGGCGGCGGGCAAGTCATTCACCCGATTCCCAGTCTTAACGATGGGCAGAGCGACGTGTCTCTAACAGATGCACACTTCCCAGGGCTTGCCATGAGCAAGGTCCCGGGGAAGCGTGCAGCACATTCCAGACTGGTCAGGTAGGTTTGGGTACCACAAAGGACGGCTTACAAAGGGCTGAGTGGGGTGCTGGGAGCACACAGGCCGGTGGGGGAGCAGCAGTGATAGTGATGCAGGGTTAGGGGCACAGAGGAAGCACCATGTGGCTCAGAGGGGAGCAGACACCCTCTCCCTTCCCTCTGAGGCCCTGCTGGTGCTCTCCACCGGCCAGTTCTAGCAGAAAGCTGGTCAGCCAGGGGCCAGCGGATGGGGGCCATGAAGATGGCTTCCAGGGCCCAAAGCAGGGTGGGCCGGTGACAGTGGGCTCCAAGGGCAAGTGGAGACTGTCCAGCACTGGGCTCCAGGGGGCGCTGTGCATGATAGTGAGTCAGTGCTCAGGCGAGTCTGGAGTTTGTTCTGCTCACAGCAGGGGAGGAGAATTGCTAGGAAGACCTGGTGCCTTCTCTGCAGGGTCAGCCTCTCCTTGTGGTCCTCGCCTGGGAGGCTGACTGGTGTCTCTGTCCACAGCACATACAGGAGTTCACCAATCAGACGTGGCAGGCGCGTTCTGGCCAGCCGCTGCCTGACCACCTGGTTCTGCTCGTGTGGTCCCTCATTGTGTCTCTGTACCCCCTGGGGGGCCTCTTTGGGGCGCTGCTTGCAGGGCCCCTGGCCGTCATGCTGGGAAGGTAAGTGCTCCCTGTGTACCCCCAGTTCCCTTTAGTGAGGGTCACCCCAGCCTGCAGGCTGAGGAATATGGGAGGAGGGTGCCCGGCAGGCCCCGGCCTCCTGCTCTGCCTGTGGTTTTACATGAGACGCCCAGTTCCAAGCGGACTTGGTAGAGGAAGGAGTCCCGGGCTCTGTGCGAGGGAGGACTCGAGTTTCCAGTGCCACGTCTGCCTGAAAATGCTATTTGATCGTAAACACGTGTTTTCTCCCAGGGCCTCATTTCCCCCTTGGAAGCCAACTGATGCAGTGCCTATGTGTCAAACAAGAGAGACAGACTCTGGGTTAATTAATTGAAAATTGTAGTAACTGGCAGGACACGGGGGCAGCTCACGGGGTGAAGTGAAGTGCTCAGAAATCAGGCCTCGAGAGGGGCAGCCCCGTGGCCGTGCCGAGGACCGTCACAGCCAGCCCTGCGCACCTGCCCCCCGGGGGGGTGGCTTCGGCATGCCAACTGCAGGTGCATTCTGTCCCCCGTGTCTCTATTCAGAATTCAGAATCCGGGCCCATCTTGAGTCGCCTGTGAAAGAGGGGAGAAAAGCAATGGCAGGCAGAAAGCAAATGGCTATCACAGGCCACCCCTTTGCTAGCCACCCAGCGGGCGTGGACACACTTCACCCATGTAGTCAGCTCCGCAGGCGCCCTCCTCACACTGCTCGGCCATCCCGTGATACGTACCCGTGCGCGTGTTCACTTCCCCCTGAGTGAGATGCTCAGAGCGTCATCTTGTCACAGCCACCGGGGCGGATACCGATGCAATACCATCAGGGGACGCTCCTGATGAGTGTGGGACTTCCACGTGGTGACGGTCTGCCAGCCCTGCAGTTGACCCACACACTTACTGGTGTTCTCACTGCCCCTGAGACGCCCCACAGGAAACCGGAAGAGGAAGAAAGAGTAGGGCAAGCTAATCGAAGAAAAGAAAGTCGTGAATGCATTTTTTCAGCTTTATGTTTTTTAACGTTTAAAAAAGCCCTCACCCAAAAATGTGTTTATTGATCTCTAGAGAGAGAGAAACATCAGTGTGAGAAACGCTGATCAGTTGCCTCCCGTATGCGCCCTGACTGGGGATTGAACCCATAGCTTAGGTGTGTGTCCTGACCCCGATGGAGCATGCAAACTTTTGGTGTATGGGATGATGTTGCAATCAACCGAGCCACTCGGCTGGGATTGGATGAGTTTATTTCAGAGCACGTGACACAGGCAGCCCAGAAACACAGGCAGAAGTTCTACCTGTTGGTTTTGGAACTGATCACAAGCTGTTGCCTGCCTTAGAAGTGACTCCCACCTCCAGTTCTTCACGCTTGTCCTTGGCCAGCACGTCCCCTGGTTGAGGCTCTTTGTCCACTGGGCTGACCCAAATCTTCATCCTTGGGTGGCCTTAGTGGTCCTGAAGGTGTGGGATCTCCAGCAGGTTGTTAAACTGTGAGATCACCTGCTTCTGGGCGATGGGGTTCGTAATGCAACTATGCGTTCCACCGGCACCCATCCTTCCTCTGTCCCTGATGTAACTTCCTTTGTCGGATGCAAATTGCATGGGTATCATGTCTGTGTATTTAACGGGTGTATCTGTTAAGATGCCTTCCACTGTCAACAGTAAAACAGCAGGACTCAGTTGGCCAAAACAACGGGAGACCCTTTATCTTACACAGGAAGTCTATAGGTGGGTGACTTCCAGGCTACTCGGTGCCCCAGGTCCGCTCCTCTGAGATTCCCTTGGCTGCCGGTTTCACTGTGTGTCGGCTGGGCCCTTGGGCTTGTGGCGGGACAGCTGCAGCAGTGCTTCACTCAGACTCAGCACTGTCCATCCCCAGTGTCCCCTTCCCTGTCCATGGTTTGTCCCATCGAACTAAGCGTGCATCATCTAGCTATCTGGCAGGTTCTGATTCGGATGCCAGTTCTTTCTTTTCATAAAGGATTTTGGGGAGAGTGGTGCTTAATCTGAGGGATAAAGCCATAAAATAGAAGTCCTGTTATTTTAAGCTGTGGTACTGGCAGAAAGGAGAGTGATTGGGGCGTGCTGGGGGAAGGGAGTGGGAGTGGGCCCTCTAGACATACCACAGAGGACCCCAGGCTCAGTGAGTAGCTGGTGGTCATTTCCATCCATGTGACTCAGACTCCTGAACACAGTTCACACACACACCCAGGTCTGGTCAGGGCTGGCTGGAGTGGCAAAGAGGGGTCCCCAGGGTCAGTTGCTCTGGACTGACCTTGACCACTCTTGCCTGTGTTCTGCTCCCTGCAAGGAAGCAGTCCCTCCTGGTGAACAACGTGTTCGTGGTGGCTGCAGCGGTCCTGTTTGGCTTCAGCCGCAGAGCGGGCTCCTTCGAGATGGTCATGCTGGGTCGGCTGCTCGTGGGGGTCAACGCAGGTATGGGGGTGGGTGCCTCACCTTACCTCCCCATTCCTTTTGGTCCACTTATTCCCACCTTGTTTTTGCAAAGTGATTGAATATGTTTTACCTTAAAAGGCTCACGCAGTGGGTATAGGAGAACAAAAACGTACAGGGACATGAGAACACCCCCCCCCCAAACCTGCACTTACAGAGGTCCTGCATTTGAGCAACATTCTAAGCCATGAGCTTCCTGGCAGCCAAGGTGTAAAGGCATCTCAGATGAGTTCTCTGATCTTCCCTGCAGAGGCAGAAAAGCCTGTTAGGGACTCCTCAGTTTTGGGGGCTTGTCATGGGAGGGAGCAGAATGCAGAGCACATCCTCCTGGAGTTTTAGGGGCTCCCAATCCGCTCTTGACACCCTACTGTTTGAACAGCCAGGTGCTGACGTCTGTATTAGTTTTCTAGAGTTGTGAAACAGACTTTTTTGTACTTAAAAGTCAGTGGCTTAAAACAACCAATGTGTATAACAATCTGATGGTTTCTGTGAGTCAGGACCTGGGAGTGTCTTAGTGGGTCTGTCTGGCTTGGGGCCTCTCGGGAGGCTGAGGTCCCCTCAGAGGGAGGATCTGCCTGGCGCCCGCCCTGCCCCTGCTCCCTGAGAGCCCGCGCTACCTCCTCATCGACTGTGGAGGCACTGAGGCCTTCCCGGTCCCTGGTCAGGGAGGGGGCGGACCAGCACTCCCTGTGGAAACCCCGGGGGCACGATGCTCAAATACTGTGGCCTCCTAGCTTTTGCCAGCTGTTGCCATCTGGGGTGGGCAGTGGGGGTCCAGTTCTGTTTCCCCACTGGTTGCGGCTGTCTCTCTGGGGAGGCGGGCATGAGGGGCAAGCCCACAGCAGCCGTGGTCAGTGAAGGCGTTGATGTGAGCGCTGTGGCAGCTGGTGGGCATTCCCTTCCCCTCTTCCGCCCCAGCTACTCAGAGCCCTTTGCAGCCATCCCTGTGTCCCAGTGATGGGTTCTAGACAGAGTCGATGACCACGGTGGGGCTGTGCTGAGGGAATAGGTGAGAGGAGTCCCGGGGGTAGACCTGGAGCCCTCTGGTCCTAAGGCAGGGGAGGAGGGGCCCCTCCAAGTGTGCAGGGTGAGGGAGCGGCATGTGGGTGGCGCTGGGGCCCAGTAGATGAGGTGCCAAGGAGGCGGGGCATTGCAGGGCTCGGGGTTCCAGCCTGAGGGCGACTCTGTGGCAGGTGTGAGCATGAACATCCAGCCCATGTACCTGGGGGAGAGTGCACCCAAGGAGCTCCGAGGAGCCGTGGCCATGACCTCAGCCATCTTCACTGCTCTGGGGATCGTAATGGGCCAGGTGGTCGGACTCAGGTAAGTAAGTGCCCTGCCGTGTGCAGAGTGGTGTAAGCGGTGCCCATAAAAGCCCTTCTTTGCCTAAATTTCTCCCTGTCTATTAAGTAGATTACAACGTTGCTTCTGTGTATTAAGGTATCGAAGCCTGCCCGATTCCACCTGGTCAGCACACAAAATGGGAATCAGTCAGCCACACACACTTCAGTGTGACCACACTTTCCCGTCCTCTCCAGATCAGGGAGCAGAGAGCAGGTCTTGACAGAGAAGAGGGTAGATGTTTGGGCTTTTCCAGGGGATCATGTCTTGGTCATCACAGAAGGGAGAGGGGACAGCCACGAGTGGGCCTGGAAAGAGGAGTTGTTAGGGATAAGAAGGGGCCAGAGCCCTGCCTTGCCTTGGGGCCTTACCGAGTGGGAGGGGTCTTTGTGTCCAGGCCCGGAGCTGGTTAGGAGGAAGCACAGAGCAGTGCAGACCCTCCGCCCTCAAAAGAGCAGGCAGGCAGGCAGGGGACAGGGCTCTGGCAAGGAGGTGTGTGGCCTGACCTCTCCTTTGCCCCTCCAGGGAGCTCCTGGGTGGCCCACAGGCCTGGCCCCTGCTGCTGGCCAGCTGCCTGGTGCCCGGGCTGCTCCAGCTGGCCTCCCTGCCCCTGCTCCCTGAGAGCCCGCGCTACCTCCTCATTGACTGTGGAGACCCTGAGGCCTGCCTGGCAGGTGAGTCCGTGGCTTCACGTTCCCAGATCCTCCTGACCAATGGGCACCTCTGCCCAGAGAGAGCATGTGGGTCCTCTTTTCTCAGGTTTCATTTTTCAGGGAAAAGTTGTCCTTCTCTTTGTGCCTCTACTGATCCCTGTAAAATGCTTTACGGAGGGGTTTGTCCTGAGTGCCAAGGCAGCAGGATGGAACAGACCAGCCCCTGCCCCCAGGAACCCCAGGGTGGTGCAGAGAAAGAGCCCCCCGCAACACATATGCAAGATGAGGCACCAGGTAGGAATTCAGGGTTCAATGCCAAACCTCCGCTGACAGTCTTACCCATTAGCTGTGGCCACAGTAATGATGCCCGAGAAACGATCCCCAAATCTCTGGCTCAAAGCAACAGTCATTTACGGCATCTTCTACTTGCTGCGCTGGCCACACGGCCCTGCTGCTTAGCTGGGCTGGCTCCTGGCGTCAGTGCTGGCCGAGGAGTGGCCAGTCCGGGCTGGTCTGGGCCGCAGCAGTTCAGCTCTGCTGCACATGCCTTTCCTTTCCTGATACCAGCCAGCTAGCTCAGGAATGCTCTTGTCACAGTGATGGCAGACGCACAAAAAAGCAAGTCCAGCCGAGTAAGCACTTTCAGAACCTTTGGTCCCCTCATGCCCTTTTAATATCCCATTGACCCGAGAAAGTCGTGTTTTGGGGCCCAAAGTTAGGGGATGGGAAAACCAATGGCATATCCTCTCATATGGCAAAGGGGGTCGAATTAGGGAGGGCCCATTGATACATTTTGCTCAGCGTGCCGTCGTGGCCACGGTGATTACTCACGGCCCTCCCCTGTGTAAATCATGCTGATTGCTGTCTGGGACCCCTGAAGTCTTGTCCAATGGCACCGAGCTCGAAGTACAGAATCTTTCTTTTTTCCCCTTAAGATTTATTTGTTTGTTTGTTTTTAGAGAGGAGGGAGAGAGGAAAAGAAACATCAGTGTGTGGTTGCCTCTCACATGCACCCATCTGGGGACCTGGCCTGGAACCCAGGCACGTGCCCTGACTGGGAATCGAACCAGTGACTATTTGGTTCACAGTCCGGTGCTCAATTCACTGCGCCACACCAGCCAGGGCTGGAGTCCAGGATCTTAAGATCACATCAAGTCTATTGTGTCTTCTCTGGATCCAGAGACCTAGGAGCCAGAACACAAGTCTTCTGTCCTTCCCATATTCAGTGGGGAAAGTGGGAGGGCATGACTAGAACTCACCTCCATCTCAAAGGAGTGGGAGGCAAGGAAGTGGGAAGCAGCCTCGACCCACAGCGGTGCTTGGGCTCCGCTGGGAAGCTGGGGGATGCGGCCAGATCCCCCTGTTCCCTGGGAGGCACTCCCGGGCCAGGGCTTCCCCAGCTTCTTGCTTCTGTCCTCCCGGATGTCCTTCCTGCTTAATGCCTTCCTTGACACCTTCTGAAGATGATGTTGGACGTGTCCCTATAGAAAGTTGGGGTGCGAAAGTCCATATGTTTCACACGGTCTCTGCCTCTCCTCATCCAGGCTGGCAGCACGTGTGTCAGTATGGTTTTTGAAAAAGCGGTGTGAATTTTCTATGTATTTGATTTAGGTGCCAGAAGGCCACACTCGCAGTTTTTTCCAGACATGCGTCTCTCCCAAGACCTAGTTACTGGAATCTGGGGCACAGCAGGCTGCTGCCGACCGACACCCTTAGGCCCCTGGAATGACCCCTTTTTCCAACCGGGAGATTCTGTAAGGCTGTCGGGCTGTGACTTAATTTGGGACTTTTTGCCAGCTGGAGAGACTAGAGAGAAAAAAGAGGTGTTTTGTTTTGCTTTGGTTTATTTTGGGAAACTAACCTTGCAAGTATGGAATAAGGTAAATTTTATTAAATTGTGTTCCTTCTGAAGGTTTTTGTGCTTATGTCTTTGTGGTAAGGCAAGCTTAGAATACTCAGCTAAAGGCAGACAGTTCGTTTTCAACACATGGAGATCTCTGCCCCAGGGCGGAAGTGCCCTGGGTCTGTTTTTCCTCCTCTAGGCTACAGCCCCACTCTCTCGGGCTGTCACTTGTCCGGCCTCCTCATCACTCTCTGTCTGCACCTGGAATCAACACCACCGATCACAGGTCCTAGCTGTGGTGGCACCCACTCCTTGTACTGGTTTATTCATCAGTTTTCTGTTTCTGCTTAACAATCGCTGCATCTCAGGGGCCAAGAAAAGGAGCAACTGCTTAGCTCAAGCCTCTGGGTTCTCTGGGGCTGGCTGATGTTGGCTGTGCCTGGCTGGTGGCTCTGCTGTTTGGTCACTCATGCAGGTTAACTGGGTGTTGGCTGATCTAGTATGGTACCAGTGGGGCCATCTCTGCTCTTCCTGGCACCAGTGGGCTAACCTGGCAAGTTTTTATGATGATGGCAGAAGAGCAAATAGAAATGAGCAAGGTCCCTTAAGGCATGGGCTGGAACAGGGGGCGTGCCCTCCCCACAGACTCATCCTATTGGTCAGAGAAGGTCACATGGTGGAGCCCAGTGCCAAGGATGTGTGGAAGCTACTGCAAAATCCCTAGCAAAGGGCATGGATACAGGGAGAGGGTGAAGGATTGGGGATGATGGTAACACTCTGTCATAATTGCTGTGTCCTCTCTGATGGATCCACAGCATCCTAAGGTTCTAAATCTCTTTCCAGCCCAGCCCATGATGCTCCTGTGAAGTGACAGGGCCGGGAAGGTCGTCACCCCTTGTGACCATGGGGGCCCAGAGAGGGGGGGGGTTGGGGTGGGGAGCTCACTGTGGGGGACCAAAGAGAGGCCAGGGGAAGGAGGGCTCAGCAGCCCCTCTCCTGCCCCAGCACTGCAGCGGCTGCGGGGCACCACGGACTTGGCCTTGGAGCTGGCGGAGCTGGAGGAGGAGTGCGCAGCCTGCCAGGGCCTGCGAGCACGGCGCCCGTGGGAGCTGTTCCGGGATGGCACCCTGCGGAGGCAGGTGATGAGCCTCGTGGTCCTGGGCAGCGCCATGGAGCTCTGCGGGAATGACTCGGTGCGGCCCTTGCTGTGTCCCCAACCACCTCCCCAACTGTGGGATGGGGGCTGGGGGCTGCGGGCTGCAGGCCCCTGGGAGCCCCGCCAGTACCACAGAGCTGGCCCTGCGCCCACCTCCCCAGGTGTACGCCTACGCCTCTTCCGTGTTCCTGGAGGCAGGAGTGCCCCAGGAGAAGGTCCAGTATGCCGCCATCGGGACCGGGTCCTGCGAGCTGCTCACGGCCCTCGTCAGTGTGAGTCTGGCTCTGGGCTGGTCCTGCGCCCACCCTGCGGGGAGAGGGGCGTTGATGCCCCGAGGACTTAAGTGCTCTTCTTTAAGCCATTTCCCACTCCAGGTCACTCTGTTAAAATATGGCGAGGTAGCCAGCATTTTATTGAGCTCCTGCTGTTTGCTGGGCACTCAAGCCCCTATTTTCAGATGAAGAAACTGGGTGAAGTTGAGTGACCTCTGGGAAATCAATTCCTTTCTCTTTTTTTAAAAAAGATCTGATTTCTTTTTAAGAGAGAAGGGAAGGGAGGGAGAAAGAGAGGGAGAAAAAAATCAAAGTGTGGTTGCCTCTCATATGCCCCCAACTGGGGGCCTGGCCCGCAACCCAGGCATGTGCCCTGACTCAGAATCGAACTGGTGACCCTCTGGTTCACAGGCGAGCACTCAGTCCACTGAGCCACACCAGCCAGGGCATGGGAAATTAATTCCTTAATCTCTGGAAGCAATAAACTGCTCCCTGCCCTACCACCAACTTCCTCATGAGGCCCTTCCTACTGCCCACCCCCAAACCAAGGGGACCATGGCTGGACCAGTTATGGGGTCCCCTTTCCTTTGCAGTGTGTGGTCATTGAGAGGGTGGGCCGGCGGGTGCTGCTGATGGGGGGATACGGCCTGATGACCTTCTGGGGGAGCATCTTCACAGTGGCCCTGTGCCTGCAGGTAGCTGGGCAGGGTGAGGGGTGGGGGGCTGGGTGCTGGCTCATCTCCACCTCACTCCACCCTCTGCGGCAGAGCTCCTTCTCCTGGATGCCCTACCTGGCCATGTCCTGCATCTTCGCCTTCATCCTCAGCTTTGGCATTGGTCCCGGTGAGTGGGCTTAGGGAGGTCTGGGCTTTGGGACTAGCTGGAGGACCGTGGACATCGGATGAAAGATGGGTGGGTGCAAATGCTATGTTGCCTGTGTGCCCTACCCCCACCTCTACCAAGGCTTCTGGAAGAACACCCAGGGGCCCCCACTCCCATGTGGGGGAAAGGTGGGAGAAAGGCAGGGCAGGGAGCCCTGGATGGCAGTCCCCTGTCCCTCCTTCCTTCCAGCTGGAGTGACAGGGATCCTGGCCACGGAGCTGTTTGACCAGATGGCGCGGCCCGCTGCCTACACGGTCTGCGGGGTGCTCATGTGGACCATGCTCTTCCTGGTTGGGCTGGGGTTCCCCTTCTTCATGGTAGGCCTGCCCCTTCCAGGGTGGGAAGATGGGGTGGGGGGTGGCAGGGGAGGGGGCTGCCTTTGGTTTTGTCCCTGTCAGCAGGGAAACCCCAGCGGGAGGCCTCCATCCAAGAGAACTGAGGCTGAAGGGGGTGGGGCTTATTCCAAGCAAACAAAGACAAGTTCCTCTTCCAGACCCGTTATGCGGTCTTCTGTCTTGGGGCTAAATGGGGCTCCACTGGGTCTCAGGGTGTCTTTTAACCTATAGGAGGGATTGTCCCACTTCCTCTACGTGCCTTTCCTTGGCGTCTGTGTCTGTGGGGCCATCTACACTGGCTTCTTCCTCCCTGAGACCAAAGGCAAGACGTTCCTGGAGATCTCTGAAGAACTGCGCAGACTCAACCTCCCCAGGCGGAGCCAGGGCCCCAGGTGGAAAGGCCCGGACGTCATCCAGTCCACTGAGCTGTAGCCCCGCAGGTGTGGCTGGGGCCCGGACCCAGCTGCTGCCCTTCCCTTTGCTTCCTCTCCCTGCACTAGCTCCTGTGTGTGTTCACTTAATGAGTGCTTATTAAATGAGCACCTACTGTGTGCGGGCATGGTGCCTCTTGGTACTCCCCATCTAGAGACAGTCAACAAACAGGAAACCAATGAAAACATAATTACAAACTCAGGGAAATGCAGTGGAAGAAAAGTACATGTGCAGCGTGTGCACACCCAAGGCTGGGGGTGGGGTGATGTGGTTTAAGACGGGCGTGGTCAGAGGATTTTCTGAGGAATTGATTTTTTAAAAAATTAACCTTATTGAGGCATAGTTTACGTAAAATAATGTACCCATATTAGGTATACATTTGATGAATTTTGTCAGCTTTATCCGCCCATGAAACTGCCAAACCACCACGGTCGAGGTAGAACATTCACGTCACCCCCGAATCTCCCTTTGCAATCAGTAACCCATCCCACTTGCAGCCCCAAGCAACTGCTGACCTGTGTTCTGTCACTACTGACCGGATTTGCGTTTTTCAGAATTTGACATGATTCCATGATGTGTGTGTGCATTTGTGTCTGGCTTTGCTCCATATACAGTTTTTGAAATTCATACAGCTTGTTGCATGTCTTACTATATATTCCTTTGTATTTCTGAGTAGTATCTCACTGTATGGACATACCATAACTTGTTTATCCATTTGCCTGTTGGTGGGCACTCAGGCCATCATGAATGAAACTGGGGAGCATTCCTGGACGGGTCACTGTGTGGACATACGTTTTCATTTCTTGCGGGTAGATGAATTGCTGAGTTTAATAATGAAGGTATGTTTAGCCAGAGAAGAAACTTTTCCAAAGTGATTATACTGTTTGGCATTCCCACTAGCAATGTTAAAAATTCCAGATGTTCTCAATCTTTGTCAGCACTTGGTGTTGTCGCCTTCTTGATTTAGTCATTCTTGTGAATGCATAATGGTGTCCTGTGGTTTAATTGAGGTGTTTCCCTGATGACTCACAATGTTGAGCATCTTCTCATCTGCTCCATATGGCCATTCATCTATTTTCTTTTATGGAGAGTCTGTACAAATATTTTGTCTATTACTTATCTGTATTTTTTTTAATTTAATGTTTTAGAGTAGTTTTAGGGTCACAGCAAAATCAGAAAATAGAGATTTCCCGTGTATCTCCTGTATGCCCCACCCCCCACACAGTGCCTCCTCCATTAGCAGCCTCTCCCACCAGAGTGGGGCATTTGCTACAACCAGTGAGCCCGCAGTCACGTATCATTGTCACCCAAAGTCCATTGTTCACATAAAGTTTCATGCTTGGGGTTGTACAGTGTACAAGTTTGGATAAATGTATAATTTTGTGTATCCATCATTATGGTATCATACACAGAAGTGAATTTCACAGCCCTCAATGTTCTCTGTGTTCTGCCTGTGGAGGGGAGTTGGAGGGAGGGTACCAGCCTCAGAGCCTGGTTATTTCAAGACAGGGAGAGACTGGGCCCAGGCCCCCTGGGAAACAGTGCTGCCCCTGTCAGAGAGGAGGCGCTCCCTACCCAGCCGGCCCTCTTGTGGGTCTCCACCTGGGCAGACATCCTGACCCAGAGCTGGTTAGGAAGCGGACAGTGCAGAGCCTCTGCCCTCGGTGGGACAGGGCAGCAGGGGACTGAGCTCTTGCAAGGAGGCATCTGGTTTGGCCTTTCCTCTGTCTCCTCTTTTTGATCCTCAAGAGCTTATGACACCCTCATTGTTGGTGGAGACCCCAGGGCTTGCCTGGAGGGTGAATCCCTGGCCTCAGGTTCCCAGATCATTCTCGACGGAAGGGCTCCCACCATCCTGGGCACTCAGCCAGACCCTTCATGTCCTTTTCTGCTGGTCCCTATCAAGCCCCAAATCCCCCTGGACTGCTCCCCCCCATACCCAAATGCTCCGAAGCTCAGCCTGCCAATCCAGACCCCAGACCCAGCGTGGCCTCTCCCCACCGCCCAGAGCACCCTGTGGCCCCCTCCCCAGATGTGTCAAACCTTCCTTGCTGGCTATAGTGTGAGTCTCAGCTTTCCAGACCCTGCTGCCTGGGCCCGAGGCTCCCTGGTGGGCCAGCACACAGGGGCCGAGTGGGTAGGTTGTCAACTGGCTGCCCAGCTGCTGAGCTCCACACAGGGCTCACGAGGCTTGGCTGGTGCTGCTTCCAAGGCTGCGGTCAGTTCCGCATTTGCTCTCAGGCCCCCCTCTTTCAGACCCTGAGACTCTGGCTCCCCCCTTCAGGACCCACACGGGTTACCTTCTCCGTGTCTCAGCTGAATCTCGGCCCATTGCCTGCATTCACTGTAGTCCTTGTCCTCGGCAGTGCCCAGGGCAGTAAGGAGGCAGTGACCCTCAGCTCGCAGAAAGCGAGATGGTCTCGCAGTGACAACAACAGTGCTGCACAGAGGTGACATTTGCGGAGGGTTTTCTGCTTGTCAAGACCATTCTGAGCACTTCACTAACACTGGCCCCTTTAACCCCGACAAGGGTCCCGTGAAATGAGGACTTTTAGTATCACGTTTCACATAGAAGCAGAGGCCCATGAAGGCAGTGGTTTGTCCAAGGTCACCACACACCCAGGCCAGGATTGAGCCTGGTGGTCTTGACCACTGCACCACACTGCCTCACCTGCCCTGGATGTTTTGCTAACTGATCCCCATTCCCAGAGACCACCCTGAGAGGTCCAAGGTGACACTGTGGTTAGTGGTGCAGCTGGGGCTGGAGCCAGTGCTTTCTGAGGGTGGGGCCAGGACAGGGGTGTGGAGGACACAGGCCAAGCAGCCACGCTCAGGTCCAGCAGAGGCAGGTGGGGAGCCATGGGTGGCCCCTGCCACAGAGCCTGAGGGAGACGAGGTTGTGTCCCACCGGTTTCCTGGGTCCGTTCTCCAGGCAGCAGGGAATGGCCAAAAATTAGAGAGAACCAGACATCCAGAGAGACACAAAGACTCTAACGGGAGCCCAGGTCCCACCCCATGGCCCCAGTGTTTGAGTACCATTCCAGGAGCGGATGCCAAGTTTTTGCCTCCTGAGCCCTGTTTGACTCAGGGTGGCTGGGGAAGAAGGCTGAGAGCCAGGAGAGGGTGGACACAGAGGGGAAGAGACAGGGCTCCGAGCTCTGGCGCGCGCGTGCGCGCACACACACTCACACACACACACACACACACACACGGCTTTCTTTGGAGGCAGACGGTAAAAATGCACACCTGGAGGCCCCCAGGTGAGGAGCGTGAGAGGTGGGTGGGTTTCCAGCAGAGAAGGGTTCCTGGGAGACATGGGCGCTAGAGTTGGGATGGGGAAGGCCTGGGACGGGGGGAGGTGCAGAGGGGAAGGCCAGCATCCACCTGGACTTCATGGGGCACAGGGACTGTGAGGCAGGGAGGGGCCCTGAGGCCGGGCTGGGAATTCGTCCTGGAATCGTGAGAGCTAGCCCCTCCGGTGGTCTCCTCCCACATCACACCAAGGACCAGCAGTCCCCATGCCCTCACCCCCTCACCCACCCCCACCACGGTGCATGCTTACATGTCCTCAGTGTTCTGGGAGGTGAGGGTTTTTGAGAGGCTCAGCACCCCGCCTTGGGGTGGGTGCTGTGAGCTGCTGATGGCTGTTGTGTGCACCTGAGCTGGGCTGCACCACCGTCGCTTCCTGTGTGGCAGCTGCGGCCGCCTGCTCCCTGGGGTCCCCCCGCAGCCTGGCCTCCGCTTTGGTGGGCAGGGTCAGGACCTGGACACTGGGGGCAGGGGGGGGGAAGGTACTGTCACCTGTTCTGCCCGGATGCTCACTATTAGGGTTCAGTCCTGTTAGCCCAGTTCCTGCTCCAGGGCACTTGGTTTCAATGCGGTAAGATTGGGTAACATTTACTGAGCACCTACTGTATGCCAGAAACTTTGTGCTTGTCTCATTTAATCCTCACACAAGTCTATGGAAAAGGAATTACTGCCCTCGTTTTGAGGTGATGAGAAAGAGGCTCAGAGTTTAACTGACTCAGCCCAGGTCACACTGCTGGCCATGACCTCTGGCTCCTTTCTCTCCAGAGTGGTGGTCCCCTGGAAGACACCCTTCTCTGCAGTCCTGTACCTTAGGCACCACTGGGTGGGGGTCACCAGCAAGGATGATGACCCCCAGCCAGGCCTTCTTCCACTGCGACTGGAGGGAGATGGGGTGTTTTTGCTTCTCTTTGCTGCAGACTCTACCACATTCAGTGAACAGGGCACAAAAACTGGTGCATGGGGGCCCATCAGGGCCTAAGACCAACTGGGGTGTTTGGCAAGAGGCAGAGATGTGGCTGGGGAGGGGGCAGAGGGAATGACAGGAGGGTAGACCGTTCACGGACATGGACCGATGACCAGGTTCACGTTGGGGACAGGCAGTGGAGGGGAGTGTGGGTGATCCCCTGGGGGAGCTGGGAGACCGATCCCACCGAGCCCTCCGTGGTCTGCCCCCTCCCTCTAGCATGGGCACCTCAGGTCAAGCCCATGGAGACGTTTAACCTGGGGCCAGCTGCCCACCAGTAGGGTCTTTCAGGTGCTCACTGTGGCCACAGTTCCCCTCACCTGGCTTACCTGTCCCTACACCATGAGGTTTCTTCCCACCCCCTTCTCTGCCCAGCAGCCCCTCCCCCAGGATGTGACACTCAAGAAGTGCTCCGCACCAGCCCCAAGTTGCACTGGGGCTGAACCTGCAGACGAGCAGCGCTTTGAACAGAGAGGGGTTTGTTTCCCTCCTTTCAGCGAATGGCTGCTGGAGGGGCTGTGCAGGGCCGGCAGAGCCCCAGGCTCTTCGGGGTTGCTGCCTCCCATTCCTTTGCCTGTGTTTTTCCAGCTTGTGGTTGCCCAACAGCCGCCGCGTGACCAGGGGTTTTGTCCACATTCCAGGCAGGGCAAGAGGCACTGGGTAGGGTGGCACCGCCATCAGCAGAGCAGCTGCTTCCCCACACACCCCGTTCATCGCACGCACCACGCCTGCGTCGCACGGCCTCACCTGGTCACCAGGGGCTCTGGAGCAGCCAGTGTTCTAATCAAGCAGGACTGGGATCGGAGAGGGGACAAGGGAGGGGGTCTCGGGCACGGCAGCAGCCATGTCTGGCAGTGCCGCCTGGGGTGGGCGTCCCGTCATTCAGCAGATAATTGTTGAACCCTATTGATGTCAGATATATTACATTTCTATTACCCCTAGAATAAATCATCGCACTTTTAGCAGCTTCAAACAGCACACATTTACTATCTCTGTTTCTGGGTCAGATGTCCAGCATGACGGGACTGGGTCTTCCGCTTCAGGTCTCACTCACAGGGCTGAAGTCAAGATGCGGCAGGCCAGCTAGGGAGGCACCGGCTTCCACGTTCATTCAGATTGTTGGCAGAATTCAGTTAGTTCCTTGCAGGTGCACAACTGAGGCCCTGGCCCCTTTGTCTTCAAAGCCAGTGAAAGCACGTGGATTCCTTCTGTTCCCAGTCTTCACCCCTGCCCCCACCGCCACATCCCTCTGACTAGCTGGGGAAAATTCTCTACTTTCAAGGGCTCTTGTGTTACATTGGATTGCCCCAGACAGTCCACAGTAATCCCCCTAATTACACCTCCAAAGTGCCTTTTGCCTTGTAACGTGACATATTCCCAGGTTCCAGGGATCAGCATGGACACCTTCGGAGGCGCTCTGCCTACCTGTCATGGAGGTACAGGGTCAGGAGGCAGGCAGAGGGCAATGGCCAAAGGAGACAGTCCCCACCCTCCTGAACTCACCCCCTGGAAAGGAAGATTAAATCACAGAGAGAAACGTGGTGATGGCCCCAAAGGACAGGACAGGACAGGACAGGTGCTGGGCCACTGCAGGACCCGACAGAGCCAGAAGCTCTGGGGGTTTGCCAAGGAACTGAGCCCGACCATGTAAGGGGAGGGAAAGTGTGGGCAAACTGAATTTCAGGGCCAACACCCCAGGCAGGAGCCAGAGAGCAAGAGAGGCGGTGCAGGCCTGGGGTGGCAGGGAGGTTGCCAGAGCATTGTGACCGTACTACCCCCAGTATCAGAGAAAACTATCGCCAGTGTTCAGACCACCAGACCCTCACAGCACCCTTCTGGAAGGTGGACATTACTGGCATCCCCAAATTACAGGTGTGGGAATTGAGGCTCAGAGAGGTTAGCCAAGTGGCCCAGCTAGTAAGGGGTGGGGGGGGACTGGGAATCTTAGTGAGCCAGTGCTCACTGCTGTGGGAAATGAGGTGGGGGAGGGTAAGAGCAGAATTGGCTCCAAGGCTGTTTGATCAGAAGAGTCTCCCCTGCTTCACAGTAACACCCTGAAAATGGCTGTGGCTCACCTCCCGGGGCATCATGGGTATTTGCTGGCCAGGCTCCACCTGGTCATGCACTCTGTCTCAGAGAGCAACAAC